TTGTAGTCCAGCTTTAAAATTGGAAATATTTCGTTTGGGAAATTGACTGCATTACGCGTGATTCTAGTGTAGCTTAGCATTAGAAATATTTCGTTTGGGATCTTGGTTGGACTATGCTTGATTGAAATTCAATTTTAATATTAGAAATTTATCGTTGGGGATCCTGGCGGGATTATTTTGGAAGATAATTCATCGAAATCATTGGAAATTTTTTATCGGATCCAAATCTATTATTCGGAAGAAAGATTCAGATACGATATCTAATCTATTTTGAATTTTTGAGGCACGATTGATTGGAAGAAATAGTAAATATTGGGATTTCTTGGTAGCACTGAACTTGTAGATACGTTTTTATAGATAGCCCAAATATCCCGCAATTTCATGAAGGAAAACGATTTTGAAATGACTTCTGAAAATGAATCGTAACGCGCGGTTAGTTGCGGGAAGGATTGACCGACATTTTTATGAAGATTTCGGTATTTATTTATAATTTAATTCAATTCTATTTATTATAAGAATCGCTTCTATATATTTCGAATTTAGAATTGATAATTCCTTTTATATTTTATATTATATATATATATTTTTTTTTTTTCATTATTATTTGTTATTTATTTATTATTTATGGTATATATAGATATTGATGAATCTTATTTTTGTAGAATTGATGATCTATCCAGGATTTTTTATATAATTATATAAGGAATAGTTAGTTGGGATATCTTAATTTTATTTTATTAATATAGAAGACGATGGGGAGGATTTAGTTTAGAAAGATCATGAAATTCCGTCGGAGGATATCTTTCGCGCTAATATTGAAATCTATAAGATTCAATTTGATATAAAAATAGACTTCGCAGAAAGAGTAGGCGGAATATCTCTGATATCGGGGGGTGCTTATGAAATTGAGCGGATATATGGGGGAATGGTCGATTGTCGTGCGGTCAGATTCTGATAATAAATATCATGATCATATATTTCGGAAATCGAATATTTAATTGGGAAATATTTGAATTTAAAATGCTGAAATTCTATTATTAAATATATTGAATGAGATTTTCTGAAATCGAATATCTATATGGGATTCGCACGATATTTTCAGAATATAAAGACGATTATCCCGATCTTCTTGAATAAATTCTTTCTGATATATCCGATATTATCAATAATATATCGTTCGATTTGCACTAATAAAATCTCTTATCTGTCTTTATCAAACTACTGGCCATTATTATCAAAATTGAAATTTTTTCAATTCGCAAATGCTGGGATTATTTTAGGACGGACGCCTATTCCCTACGACGGAGGGCTTAAATAAATAAATAAATAGAAATATATATATATATATATATATATTGCTATTAGTCTCAAGTGCAAGAAAAAATCATTAGATAGAATTCCCGAATTTCTTCCGAAAATTACGCTTATATATTTATTCTCGCACCCATCCATACGGATATCTATATGCATCCCGCATACAGTATATGCGTAATATACATATAATATACACTCAATCATATATAACGCATATATAATATTTTCCAAATATATCCGCACCATAGATAATACGAATATGATTCAACACGAAATATATACTCACATACAAACACAATAAGTACACACAACAACTAACGCACACGACACACCCAACACAAACAACGTACACAACATAATCAACACCACACACAACACAACACTACGCATATTCCTCTACAAGACTCTAGAAAGATAAGATCATTAAGAATTTCATATATATCTATCTGTAAGTATATTTATATAAATAAACAAATCCTATAAGATCAAATACATCTAGCTGTGTTTTCTCATTCCCTGTATATGGTCGTGTGCTGGGCGTTCTCGGCCCCCCCCCTCCCCCCTCCCCATGGTGCGCGCCGCTCCGCGTATTGCATCCCGCTTGGCCCGCCCGCGACGCACCCGTATAATTTCCAGAATAAGGATAGGATTTCGAGACAAAAGTGAGTAAAATTATGCGAAGGCCTCCAAATAGGGCTTCCTATGAGTAATAAGCAAAATGTTCTAGGCAATACTCAAAAAGATTACTCGTATCCCAAATTTCCAAGCAAGGTTATATAAAATTTCTTAGCAAAGGATTCCAGGCAATATTTTATAATATTATTCACGTATCGAGAGGCTCTAAGTGCTTAATTGCACGGAATACTGTCGACCCCTGTGCTTGGGTGGTTTCATTACTTGCATTGGTTCGAGACCTGACTTGGGGGGGTGGTCGGCAATCTTGTCTGTTTGTTTCGTCCAATCGGACTACGGCGGGGGGAACTAGTGATCTTGTGCAGTTTGCTCGGATTTCGTTCAGCTTTTGACCAGCTCGGGATAAAACAAAAAAGACCCTAAAGCCTAGCCCCTGTAAGCTTTAAGCCCCAAGCCGTTGTTCGTATTCAGTTCTGCTGCTTTAGTACTGTATGCCGGTGCAAAGATACAAACAACATGCTGCGCATCCAAGGTTTTTCTGACCTGAATCATTCTAAGTTTCGCTACAGACTGCTACATGAAGAAATCTTGAGTTTGATTCCAACAAGCTGGTGTCATTATTCATTCTGAGTTCTGAGTGGAGCATTCTAGGAGAAAATTGGAGTTCTTAGGGCCTTCAAATTCTGATGTGGCACTTCCGCGCTGCTTCCGAGTGGCTGAGGTCGCATGTAGCCTTTAGGATCGTTTCGTCACACCTTCCCACTTAGCAAGGGTGCATTTGCTGCAGCAACCACTTCGGAAAGCGTCAGTTACTGCGGCGAAAACTCTTATCCAGGCTAAGCTGTACCTACATTGACAGTGAACAGCTTGCTCTTGTAGTTGAGAGGGGTTTTGCAGTGGGCACAGTGTACTGACGTGTCATGTCTTGTACTTTCCGCGTAATCGACAACTCCTATCCGAACATGCTTTACACGATGGCACTGCTTGTGTGGGCTGTAAGCATGAACACGTTGACCTACCAGGGTCATCGTGTTTCGGTGTCAGCCGAAGCGGAATCAGACGCTGATGATGCGAAAGCTTCCCTGGCATCTGACGATGCTGCAAAGGTTTACGGCTTGCTTAGAGTCTGCCGCATCAGCGTGTACCATTCCATGGTGCGACTGGATCAAGATGGAAAGCGACAGCTGCGTTTTTGGCAGATGATCACTGGTAGATCGTTGCATGGGGAGGCTTATATATTTCATATTGACAAGTGTAAGGCTCTGGAATGTCCTTGCGATTTACAGCAGTTTGGGAGCCACCAGCCACGAAGCTTTGTTGCGAAGATAGAAGCAGAGCAGGGACCTCGACTGTGGGAGTTGCTAGACACGACTGCTGAGGGAATGGAATGGCTAGGATCTGAGCCCCCTGCAAACATTCTCAGGGCACCGCGTCCTTTCTTGTGGAAGGTTCTTGCAGGGACTTGGCAATGTCTTGTGTTTCCGCATTTGCCGAGAACGAAGCAGCATGGGTCTTCAAGCCTCACAATCAAGTGGGGGCTGTGTGGGCAAGAGCCGCCCCCGTTGCCAGCGCATGCGCAAAACTTCCCAGATGAGGATGCGTCAACTCCCATGCAACTAGAGACTGCTGTGCTTGACGAGGCCATTGATTTCTTGCAGGAATATGCAGCTTCCATGAATCCTGACACGCCGGGAGAGCTGTTCCAGGAAGCTGAATATCTCGCACTTCAGCGATGTGTGGCTACTTTTCAGTCTTTGTTGGCAGGACTTGATCCCAGTGCATTTGTTCGTTCGGCCAGGGACATGGTGGGAAAAGGCTCGGGTCTGTGGCGATCTTCTCGAAGGCCCTATCAGGTGGCGTTCTTGGTCAAGGCAGTTACCATGTCCTCTTTGCTTCGAGGTGCCTCGGCAATGGGGGAGGCCCTGCAAACTGCCGCAAGCATCCTCTTGCCCAAAGTTCTGCAAGGTGTGTTTCGTGATTTGTTGCAGACGTGCCACCAACATATCCCACACCCCAGTAGCATCTCCAGATGGAAACTCGTTCTGGATGGAGGCTTTATGCTTTTCCGACGAATGCGTAATGAAGCATTGCAGAACTCAGAACAACCAGGAGTTGTTCATTACCTCATGGCAGACGCTTCATCGCAACATGGACGTGAATTCGAACACATCATTCTTGCCAGCATCAAAAAGCAAGATCTGGGACGGCTTTACCTTGCTGCAAATGCCCTTTTCGACGTCTGGTGTCTTTGGCTGCCTATGCAAGATGTAGATGCTCAAGTGTAGGGCTGCTCCAACCGAAAGTGTAAGAGGTGACTAAACCCCCGAACAAAACAATCGTGCAACAAAGATCGCGTGGGCGCATTTAGTTAATGTTGTTGCAGCTTGGAGCTTGCCGATCTCAGGCAACAGGTTGAGAATGATGATAGCGAGGCTCTGGCAGAAGAGACCCAGCTCTTGGCAGACCTGGCAGCTGGCATCGAGCAGCATCATTTGCCAATTATGGCATTGGGGTCAGGACGAACCAGCTTGCGTGATAAGTTCTGCACCGTCATGTTTGCACTTATGTTGGAAGCCGGACCTCACATGTCCAGCCTCGGTGATTTCGTTCAAGATATTGTTGCTGGAACCTTCGATCTTGGAGTCGAGTTTTCCTTAAGTACGATTCGCCCAACCTCGTGCCGTGAACTTCTACCGTGGTTCGATGCCAGCCAGGCTAGCAAACCCACTCATGAGCCGGAAACAAGTGATGCAAATCAAGATGATTTTTTTGATGACATTCCAGATGAGCCAATTGACAGAGACAACATTTCATTGCAGAATATGCTGTCCATTCCAGGACCTTTGCACATTCTGCACAATGCCACAGACCGATTGCTCGAGCATTTGCCCTATGTGGGAAAAGCGATACCACGTCTAGTGGCAATTTGTCGTTTCCTGTGCAATCACGAGACCAAGCAGCGTCTGGTCTCCACATGTTTCTCCGGTCCTGTAAGCCGGTCTTTTGAGTCGGACATATTGAACTTCCATGCCAAGGTTAATGAAGGGCGGTGGGGCTCGGTGGCTTTTGCCGTGCCTGAGCTTTTGCATTTGCAGAAGCCGTTGCGTAGATTTTGGGATTTGGCAGCCTTCGGCAGTGGCCAAGAAGCCGGTCGTCCTGATGAGTCGGGAACCGGTGCAAGGCTCGATTTCGTCCATGAAAGCATCGAGCTAGCTGATTTCTGGGCGCAACTGATGACATTGGACTGCCTTTTCAAGTTGGTGCGAGAGCTTTTTGATTGGTTGGAATCGTGCCCATGCCACCACAATCGAGTTGCGCCGCCGAACAGGAAACGGGCCTGGGAAAGCTGCCCCCTGCGTGGGCGGCGCCTGCCGGAGATCGCTTGTGGTGAGATGTTCGAAGTTATCAACCAGCTTTGCCTCGTGAGTGCTTCACAGCTTTTCCTGGCATTGCCAGATGATGTGTCCAGTGAGTGCCGCTCGTCTTGCCTCCTGGATTTTGAACACGGCCGCGGTCATCTCACTTTTCAGCTGGTGCTGAAGATGTCGTGCTTTTTGGAGCCTCCACTGCTGCTGCTGGGCATAGCGCACCACGACCCAGCAAAGCCCCAGAAGCAGCGAGATGCATTGCACAGCTGTTTGGTGTCCGACTGCCGACATCCGCTTGTTTTGAGGCTGCAAGAAGGTGAGCTGAAAGAGGAAGCCGAGCTGTTCCTGGGGGGAGAGGACCTGCGAATGCTTGATGCCCTAGCATCGTTCATGGGAAGTCTTCGCTTCGCTTGGGGCACAGAGAGACGGGTGGAAGGTGGCCATGCTCAAGTCAACATGCTGACGGTAAGTAGACGACGCCGTCATGAGGCAACAGACTCCTTGGCCTTGAGATTGGGCGAGATCAAGAAAATCCTTTCATCAGACAGTGTCACATCGTTCTTGGAGTGTGTGCAAGCTGCCCGAAGTCCGCAGAAATTAATCCAATCACTGGGCATGATCAAACATCCTAGCTGTCGCTTGGCAAAAAGTCCATGGGATCCAATCTATCGAAAGATCATTTACCATGCAGATCCTCTTTCGTTGTACAGTATGCAGCAACCGCAACTGCGTGTGGAGACTCCTGCTGACCGTGGTGGGGATCGTGTGCTGGAGCCGTTGAGAGACCAACCTGCAGACAACCAGGATCTAGCTCCGGAGACGATCCACATGCATCGCCAGCTTGCGTTGCGACGTGTAAGGAACCATTTGAGCGAGGTGTGCAAGGGCCAAGAGCCTCGTAAGCTGTTTTCCTGCGACATCCCCCCATCCTCGCTGCGGCTGTTGTGGCAATGCTTGGCCCCATCCCAGACCATGCCGGCTGTTGCGCAGGGAGGTGAGGGTCATGGTTCTGTGTCGCCGGATTCTGCACAGGCGTGCACAGATGCATTAGTTTCGCAAGCCTCCCAGCACCAAAGGGTCTTTTTCAGGATTGTTGGCTTTGGTCTCTCCCGTGCCAAGCTAGCGACACCAGGAGATTTCGACAAGAGTGATGTTGGCGTCGTCCTTTTGAGGGCCACGAACGCAGCAAATGCAGATGGCACATGCCGTGTTGAGACATCTGCAGTCAACTTGCAGTCCCCTGCCAGTGGTGCTGTGTCTGGTTTGGAAGCGGCCCCACTGGTTCTGAGATTGTCTTGCCTCACTCTGGCCCAACTTCGGTCGTTGACTGTTTGGGAGGAGAACCCATCAGTGCGGGCCGATGAAGCGAGTGGGGCAATGTACATGTTAGTGTCTGCCTCAGTCAAGGCATTGGCGATACGTGATGAGCTGCCATTGGCTGACAGATCCACGTATGAACTTGTGGAGCAGCTTCTGACAGATGGATGGGAGTGTGTGGTTGCGCGTGGACAGCAGCTGCAGACAGGTTTTCCAAATCAGCTGTTCATTCAATCGTGTTCGTTGATAATGCCCAATGCCAAAGTTTGGTTTCTGTTGTACACGTGTGCAATGCATCCAGCGCAACGGTTTGTGTGACACTGAATATCGTACTTCCCTCAAGTCTTCACACATCCAGTGCAGCAAGGACTTGACCGAAGCACTTTAAAGATTTTCCCATTGTTGCCCATCCCCCCACATTCTCGCAGCTTGTCACGTGCGTCCTTCTCCGCAACTATCAGACATTCACCCTGCCAGGAGCCAGGCTGCCGAAGAACCGTATGTCCTTGGTGGCCTGAAACGCTTCTGGATCTCACCTGCCGATGCCGAGGACCCATTCAGCCAACGCTTGCGCTCGTACTTGAGAGCTTTGCTCTGTGCCGATCAGCATGAATCTCCTGTTCCTCATTTTGAGGGAGTTCCTGTATACTTGGCCCTGCTGAGCCATGATGAGCTGGTGGTTTGGCAGGAAAAGCAAAAATCGATGCGCAAGAGACAGAGGCCAGCTTTGCAAGCTGTGGCAGACGCAGATGAGTGGGAAGTGCCTGATGTGGAGCCGAAGAGAGCGCCTAAAGCTCCACGCACTGGTAGCAAGCGTAAAGCGAAGCCGAAGCCCTTGAAAGCCAGCGAAGCAACGGAGGCTGCTGCGCTCAGCAATGAGGCCACAGATGGCCATGAGCCTTCGGCTCCCGTGCTGACAGATGAGCCCTACGATGAGCTCCAGCATGGAGCTGGCTTTGCGGACCAAGAGTGTGACAGCATGGATGAGCAAGCCGTCGCTGATGAAGTGCTTCAGCAGCTAGAGCAAGACCTTGCGGAGAGTAAGACCGCGGCTGCCTCTGACCCTGCTGCTGGCCCTCCTGGCACTAGCGGCCAAGTCAGAGATGACGGCAAGCCTGGCAGCAGCAGTTCCAGTTCCAGTTCGAGCAGCAGCAACAGCAGCTCCAGCAGTTCAGACTCAGATTCATCATCGTCCCCGCCTGATGTCAAAAAGAAACAGCCGCAAAAGTCACGGGGTGCTGGGAAAGCAAAGGCGGAGAAGAAGAAGAAGAAAGAGCGGACGGAGACGACAGTACTTGCGTCTCGTGACAGAAGCAATCGGCTCGACTGGGGGTTGCATCACCTGGTGCCACGCCACAAAGAGGGTTTGCTTCATAGCTATCAGATGTCTTGCCACCATCCCCGTCACAACTCTGGTGGCAAGCTTTGCTCGCGTGAACTTTCAGTCAACGTGGTCGGTTCTGAAGAGGGCACGCGGCGAATCCTGAAAGCTTGGGCTTTGCTTGGACACAGCTGCGAAGATAGGGCTTCCCATATGGACAGGTCCAGCCGGCAGAACCTCTTGGATGCCCTCAACGATGGCACCTTGTTGTCAGAAGCGGAGTTAGATAAGCTGATCGTGGCCACAGCAGACGAACCAGTGGTTGCACCCTTCTGCTTACCTCCTGACTCTGCCAAGCCAAAAGGCAAGGGCAAGCTGCTTCTGGGGCGAGCTGCCAAGGGCGTGCCGAAGGACGTGCATGCACGGATGGAAGACCTGGCAAGGAGGGGTGGGGTTCCGCCCACTACTTTGGCTCAGCGTGAGAGGAATAAGAAGAGTCCAAAGACGACGTACCACGTACCGAAAGAGCTACATGAAGCTCTCATGTTCAATTACCTACACCCGAATCTGCCCCCACCGGGCGGCTATGTTTGGCGCCATTCGGCAGAGGGTTGGCGACTGGTGATCCGGGGTGGCTGATCCGCTGGGTGAGCCTTTCTGCTCGCCTCGTCATGGCAGACGGCAAAGAGCAGCAGCTCCTGGGTTGCAGTATTGAAGCATGTGTCCTGTAGTCCTGGAGTTGGAGATTCACCGAATTGGTAGGGTAACGTAGACGTAGCCCACCTTGTTGTAAACTGTGTTGGACCGAATTTGTTGATGTCGGAGCCGTTGACATGAAGTGCTACAGACGCATGCTCATGCTGCTGCTGAGTTCCGTTCTGCGCGGACGGTTTGTGGATGCTGGCGACATCGTAGATGCTGCCTGGTTGCAGAGGGTCGTGAGTGACAACGTATGCTTTGGTGAGGGGCTCGACACTTGCAGCCTTGCAGCTTGCTGCTGCTGCCTATGTGGATTTCGAATTTGGATTGAGTGTCTACAGATTGAGACTAAGGAGGGACTGTAGGTATAGGGGTTTGTGACGTGTTGGTGTCCAGTTGTTACGTCCATGTAAGTAGAGTGAGAAGCCTGGCAATCGGCGTGTGGCTCTGCCTGGGCAACATTATGGTGATTGCAAAGTACAGCGTATGTGTTTGTCTAGTTTTCTGTCGCACAGGCTCAGGTTTCCCTTGAAGAAAGGACTCTGACTCTGACTCGTTGCTACACTGCTCTTGGACAGTCTCCTCCCATCCGCCCATGCCAGTCAATGAATGCATAACCCGGTACCAGTTGGCAGAAAGCTAGTGCCAGTCTACTTAGCAATCCCACAGTCCGAGGTTTTCGTCGATGCGATGTTCCCTGACGGAGCTCAGATCGCTCGGGCAGCTGCTAGCATAAAACACAAGCGTGTGAGAATTGAATAGACTGAATAGTTGCAGGAGTTTAGGTGAGGTTCCCCAGTTGTTATGTCGTCGTGGAGGCTGTGTTTGGAGACAGGCTGCATACACAATCATAGTTGGAAGCTGGGGTGCATGTTATGGTATGTGATAGGGTGGCCTTGCCTTGCTCAGAGCAAAACGGATCGGTCAGGTATGAACGAACCTGCACTTTACTCCTTGGCAGGCACTTGACACAAGTGCATGAGGATGAGCTTCGCAAAGTGTGCGACATTCGTTTGCAGACAACCTGGTTTGGGCCCATGCAATTGCAAGTAGCTGCAGTCTTGACCATATGGGTTATGTTGTTTTGGCATAAGCTTACCAGGCTTGGGGTTTAGCTGTCTAGTGTCTGACCTCTGAGAACGAGTCTCAGCAGTCCGGAGTCCGAACAGGTGTCGATACATCAGTGATGGACGTGACGATGGTGCTGATGATGCTTTGGCTGCTGTCCTGACACTGTGGTGAAAGTAAACCCGGTTGATTCGAGTTGAGTCTAGTAGTAGTTGTTGGCATTCTAGGACGGCGATGAATACAGACGCATTCATGATTTCTGTCGTGGTTGTGCACAGTTTGCCAGAGCAATGTGCTAAAGCCCTCATTGGTGCCTTGTTGCCCTTTGCTTCTCAGAGATTCTCCACAAAGAGTGTCGGTAACGGCCCCGGTCCAGTACTTAGGGGTATTTGGCGTCGCCGCTCCCGCAGACCGCGCGCGGAAACCAATCCCGTCACAGGATGCAGTTTTTTTTACAATTATCCAGTATTTTCTTATTTTTTATTTTTTTTTGAATTCAGCAAATGAAATAGGACAAAAATTGAGTTTTTCAAAGGAATTTCTTCAAAATACAGCTTTTCTCCAACAACAGCGCGTATCTATGCAGTGTTGTGGCTTTTCCCTACATAGTCTGAAACCTTGAAATTAGGTCGATTTCAAGGATACAGCTCATCTCCGGTCGCAGCTGTGAGAATGTCTGTCGTGCTGGCTGCTGTGGGTGCTTCCTATGTCTACGGCAAAAGTCCCCGTAGGAGTTCCTGCCACATATTCGCAGACGAAATGAAAAATATTTTGGTCTCGTAACCCTACGGTATATTCTTCCGTAGCATGTGCCTCCATGATTTTATTGCTTGAAAACACTCGCCAGAACGGTGTGAAATGTTTGCGGGGATTTGGTGAACGGAGTTGAACGGAGTTGAACGGAGTTGAACGGAGTGCTATTCAACGGATCTGGCAGACTCTACGGGAAACTGCTTGGTATGCTCCCGCAGCACCAAAAAAGCAAAAAAAAAAAAACACTCAAAAAGTAGCTTAAATCCAAGGAAAAACAACCAAAATTTTGAAAAAAAACAAAAAAGCATTGTGAACTTGCAATTCTGTGATGGGCTCCGTTTGGCGCGTCTGGCTTCTGCGGTTCTGCGGTTGCTCAGTTGCTCTGTTCCCAACAAAGGCCAGAATCTGTGTTCGTAGCCCAGCCGCCCAGCGAGCCCAGCCCAGCCCAGCCCAGCCCAGCACCCAGTGCAGGCCCAGCCCCCCAGCCCCGCAGCCCAGCCCAGCCCAGCCCAGCCAGCCCAGCCCAGCCAGGCCCAGGCCAGACCAGGCCCAGCCCCAGCCCAGCCCAGCCAGCCCAGCCCGTCCAGGCCAGCCCAGCCCAGCCACCCGGCCCACAGCCCAGCCAGCCCAACCCACCCAGCCTCCCGTCCCAAGCCAGCCCACCCTGCTCTTTGTGCCTCCTCCCTACTGCATTCGCCGGCCCTCCCACACCTTCGTGCTGCTTTGCTTGTCCGCTTTGCAATGCAGGGTTTTGCTGCTTGACAAAGGCAAGAGTGGGGTGAGTGTTGCGCAGGCTGTGGGTCGAAGTCTGGGACAGGGGATTTAGCATCGGAGTTGCAGAATTGCAGCTGAAGGCTGCCTGATGGAAGTTGATAAACGTGTTTGAGCCCAGGAAAGCGTAGATCGTTTGCTTGGCTGAGAGGTTTCAAGCAACAAGTGTAGTGTAGTGCATCAATGGCAGGAAGTGAAAGTGTATGAGTGCATGTTGTGGTTGTGGCAGGGACAGGGTAGTGATGATGCCTTAGGTCTCAGACTATCGCTCTTGGCCGCCTGTAATTCTTCAAGGAGTCCAGGAGTCTGCCTTCGGCTTTATCGGTGTCGGTATCCACATGGCTGCGTTGCAGCCGGTAGTTACATTGAGGAACATGACACTCAGCATTGGAAGCCGCACAGAATGAGTTCTCTTATGTGCTGTGCAGAAGCCAGGTTTAATTTTCAGGTGTAGCATCGTTGTGTTTGCTGTAGCTTCTTCGCTGTGGTTTGCCACAGCATGGCAACTGCGGCAACTTGGTCGAACGGGTCGCTCCCTCCGGAGAAGAAACGTCGCCTCCTTCAGCGGGTGTCATCAGTTGGCACTGAGCCGGATGATGCTTGGGTAGCTGAGCATGCACCTGCAGGGATCCGAACCGTGCACGATCTGCAGCAGTGGCCACTAGATGTGCTTCAGTCTTTGACAAGGCCAGACCGTGACGAAGAGATAGAGTTGCGCTTGGGTAGTCACTTGCTGCAGGGTGTGTCGTTGTACACAGACTACTCTGGGCTGGACAGTCCCAGAGAAGCCTTAGAGATGGGGTTTCGTGCTTTGCAGATACTCAAAGGGTACGATCCTGACGTGGCCGGGAGCCCAGTGTGGGTTGGCCGCACGTGCGACAAGGGAAGTTTGCAGAAGCGGTTGCAAGTTGCACTTCCCTGCTCCTTTGAAAAAGGGCGACGCTGTCATTTTGATGACATTCTGCATCGCTTGCCGCTTGAAGGAAGGCAGTGGATTGCAGCAGCTTCGCCAAGCAAGCAGGCTTCAAAGGCTGAGCGCCTTGAAGCGTACAAGTGCATCTCTGACTGGGTCATGACGAACCGCAACATGCTTTTCAGTGTGGATGCACAGAGCCTTTGCATGGTTCACCACAGGCACACAAAGGGTCGGGTCGGGTCGAGTAGCACTTCGCCGTCGTTCCTGTAAGCGTCGTCGTCGTCGTTGTCGTCGTGAGGCTGTGAGGCAGTATTTCTTAATGCCTAATGTGAACTGTGCAATCGTGTAGTAGCAGCACCAGCAGCACTAGCAGCACCAGTACCGCTCGCAGAGTAGGTGATAGCAGTGCCACTGGCACTTGGTATGACATTAACATCATGATAGGAGTTCGGAATAGTACTGGCTTTGTGCACACTTGCATTTCGCCTGCAGTTAGCATTGCTAGTAGTAGGCTAGTAGTGTTGGTTCACGAAGAAGAGGTTGTGGTGCTATAGTAGTAGCAGTAGTCGTAGATGGAGGATGCAGAGGATGAGACGGTGCGGACAGGGTTTTCTTGTCTTGTAGCTAGTGTAGCAGCGTTGTGCCGGTAGGTTGTAGCTTAGCCAACAGCTTGGCGAAGTTGTAAATGGCCCTGAGGCAGTGCCCTGCTCATCCGTCGCCTCCGCCTCCGACAGCAGATTCCGTGGCAGGTGTTCGCCGCATTCGTATTTGCGTGGCGGGTGTGACCTGTCACGCTTGGTCGGCTGAGGGAAGTCAGGATGGCCAAGCTCACGACTCCGAGATCCCATTGGCTGTGTGGCTTGCAGAAAGACGGTACATGTTTGATCAGGGAACGGAAGATGTGTGCATGGTCGAGTGCACGCCTCGCTTTCCTGCTCAAAAGCGGCTGGAGGAGACCTTCGGTGACACAGCGGTTGTTTTGGCTTGGGAGGACGGTCCTGAGTGGCACGGATGGCCGCACCGGAGGCGAAGAATCTTGTCACTGGCAGTGAACAAGAGTACAGCAGATTGGTTCGGGCCAACCACATCATTCGAGGCCAGAGCCGACTACAGCAATCGTTTCTACCGGCAGATGGTGTCCACCGGCGAGATCCTCATGCAAGCAGACCTGCAGGAACGAGTGCAGGACATGGTGGCTTTGGCAAGGTCTCGAAAGAACAACGTTGACGATGCAGCCATCGAGAAACTCTTCATGGAGCGAGACTACGACAAGCTGGCCCAGCTCCTGCTTCCTCCAGGAGGCATCATTCGCCTTCAGCAGTGGCAAGAGGTGCACAAGATGAAAATGTCCGAGGCTCCCCTACGATCGTTCCTCTGCGATGTGGATCACACAGTGGCTGGCAAAGGCTGGGCGGACAGAACGTTTGGTTTTTTTACAAAACCCCTTGTGAGACCAAGGGGCTAAACCATTTACCTTTAAACTTAAAGCCTAAAAACAAACCCCAGCCAGATCTTGGCGCAGGCCCCGTCGGTGGCGAGCTTTGGCCGACGCAGCTGACGCATGGATCGGTTTTTTCTTTGGAGGGCAAGGAGGGTGAGTCCGTCGGTTGGACAATGGCCACAGCTAGGGAGCACATGACCGCTTTGGGATGGAGGGCACATGGATCGTCCGAAGCATTTCCGGTGTCGAAGATGCTGAGTGCGTTGACTGATTTGTGCAGCTTCACCCCCAACCAGGTCAAGACCCTGGCAGGTAACTCTATGCACCTTCGAACGCAGATGGCCTTCATGTTCTATGCCTTAGGTCACATCATGTTGAAGAGCGACCGTCATGCTTTGCAGCGTGCAAACACATGGCAATGGGAAGACAGTCAGTAGATGCGGCCGCCGGCCCAACCAGTTTCCAGTTTTGCGCAGTGCTTTTGCTGCTCAGGGCAAGCTCCAGAGATTTTGATCAGACGCAGCATTGCAAACACCGTCAAAGAGCAGGATGCGTTGCAGAGTCATTGCAGATTGCAGAGTAGCTGCCAGAGAGAGGGTGATATGACATGTATTATTCGTATATACCTATAATAGCCATATGTATGTATGCATGCATGTATGTATGTATGGTGCATGTATGCATGTATGTATGTATGTATGTAGAGTAGCAGCAGATGATTACATGCAACTGGATGTTTCAGTTGCATGAGTTTAGTGGGTAGTGGTGGTGGCAGTAGTGCCAGTAGTCGTGGAAGCAGTATTACATATACATAATTATATAGTATGTATATGTGTATATCATCTTGTACACATAGATATCACACACACACACACACACACATTACATACATATATAAAGAGACACACACACACAGAGTGACACAGAGGGGCAGAGAGAAAGAGAGCAAGGGAGAGGGACTGAGAGACCCCATATGTGCTCTTGGTTGAGTGTCGGAGCACGTATGGCCACGCAGCAAGCCGCCCCCAGAAAATCCATGGGCCTCCTGAAATTATGTGGAGGAAATGTAGTCGAGTTCTTGAACTACATTTGACTCCGTCGAAACATATCGGTTTGTCAGTTCGTGCACACATTGAGTTCCGAGAAGCTTGCATATCTGATTTGTGACTTGACCTCGTCTGGCACCAGACGACAGGAATGGAGAGAAGCCTTTGTCGTTGTCGTGATTCATGTGCACTGGTGAGGCTTTCAGGCGACAGTCTCATTCGAGAGTGTTGTGTTGTGGACGGCCTGTAGGCCTTCAGGCTGTGCCTCAGCCAAACCATGGATGATGATGAGGATGAGCTCAACATGTTGCCGCCGGATGAAGACGATGAAGGTGATGAAGATGGCGGTGATGATCGTGCGGGTCGCGTTCGTGGACGTGATCCAGAGTTTGCGAACAAGTGGCAGACCCAGAGGCATCGAGGACGAGGCGGACGAGGGCGGGGCCGCCAAGCCTCGGGGAGTGCAGTGGCCAAGAACAAAGCCACGGCAAAGATCTGCTTCATTCCTGGGTGCGAGTGCAGGTGCAAGGCACATTCCAAGTTCTGTGGCGATCATCACAAGGACGCAGAGGCCGTTCGTTATCAGGGCAGACAGCAGGGCGATGAGGAGATCAAGAAGACCGTGGAGGAGACACTCGCCGACCCCTACAAGTGCAAACTGTGTCTCGAGGAGTTCGCCAGAAACAATCCAGCTGGCAGGTTCAGGAAAAAGCTCATCGACTGGGGAGCCTTCCAACAGTCCTATGGGCGACGGGCCGAGGTGAGGAATCGCGAGAACGAGGAAGAAATGGATGTCACCGACTTCATTGCTCACATGAAGAAGAAAGGGAGAAGCGAGGAGGAAGCTCTTACTAAGTGGAAAGAGCTCCTAGCAGACCCCAACACCGACCGTTCTGGGGAAGGCCAGGATATCAAGGCTTGGGTTCCAATGAACCGCACTCGCATGCGGGACACGGTTCACTACAAGGACTGCGGCTTCGTTGAAGGCAGCAAGGCGGCAAAAGACCTGAAGGATGCAGACAGGATCGGGCACTTTCAAATTCACCATGTAATCCTTATACCTAGTGCAATCAGTTGGCCAGCATGTAGCATCTTATAGATGTTAAGAGTGAGATCCTTCTATCCCGTCGCAGGCAAGACCTCTTGGATCATGTCCAGCGTCAAGAGTATGGTGTTGCTGATCCCTGGCTTCGGCAAGGTGTGGGCAACTTCGACTTGCAGCTGCAGGGTGGCCCCAAAAGAGCTGCTCTTCAAGATGTCAAGCAAGAGGCGAGTGCTGCAGCAGGCACGGTTAATGTCATTCGTAGGTTTGTGTGAATGTTGGTTTGCTTAGCTTGTTGTTCTCTGATCCCAGTAAACATCCATAATGGCATCGGTGTAAAGCGTCAACTCGAAATGTGCTATGCTTTCAGGCAGCAGCAGGGGCCCGGAGATCGCACTCGCGCGACCGAAGGCTCTGGAGAAGTACGAGAAGATGGTTGCGTCTTGCTGGAAGATGTCAGAGACGGGCAAGAAGGCTGTGGCAGAGGCTTTGCAGCTCGCTGAGGCCAACACCGAGGATGAGAAGTTGCAGACGGCCTATGAAGTCAATTGTGTTACTCGCCTCTACATGTTGGAGATTTGTGAGGCCACCACTTTGGATAAGATTCCAGGTCTTCAAGCACCCCCGTCCAATTCCCGAAGTGGTGTGGGAGAGCTTGTGACTTTGGCCGCGTCGACGGCCACGGCCACATCTGCTACACCAGCCACGGCACCTGTGCAAAATCCAGACAGCTCGCAGCAGCAATCCGCGCCACCCGCGGACACAGGCAACCCAGGCGACAAGCCAGCAGGGGCTGCAACAGATGCGGCCAATGCCAGCCCCAAGAAGCCCGACGATTCACAGTCCACGAGCGGAGACTCCGCTGCCGGGGCTCAGAATGTCAGGGTGACCCGTTTCCTCAAGAAGGCTTTGCGTGCGGCCGGGCCTGCAGGGCAGCATGTAAGCGAGATTGAGAAGATCATGGGCTTGTCGCAGATGAGTGATGTATGCCAGTCACTCATGTCTTGCAACACCATCGAGGAGCTCAACAAGGTTGTTGAATCTTTGAAGGCGGCTGCTGCAGCTATCAAAGAGCTCAAAGATGGGGCTTGCAAAGCAGCATCCAGCCTCAAATCCCACATCCAGGCGAGGCAGCGTGCTGGTCAGAAGAAGCGTGCAGCGGATTTGAAGTTGCAGGAACAGACTGAAGTCCAAGCGAAAAAGAAGCAGGCCAAGGAAGCTGCGGAGCAGATCAAGAAGCAGGAGACCGTGCTTCCAGCCGTCTTGAACCTCGATTGGAAGGCCCTGAGCGAAAGTGGCGACGACAAGTGTGCCAAGGTTCAGGTGATGGATGGCCCAGCCAAGAAATCCATCAAATCCTTTGATGTCCCGGTCTGCATCGCCAACTTCTCTGCCGTTGAGGACTTCACCAAGAACCCGAAGGCGAGATCAAAGAGAGATACATGTTGTCCACTTGGTACAAGCTAAGTAGTGAGAGAGATTGCAGATGTGGGTCGAAAGCAGGGGGGGGCAGGCCGTTCATATGCTCATGATGCTCACAGTGATGCTCATGATATGCAGTCCTGCGCAGCCCAGGCTTGCGTCCAGTTCAGTGCGCACACACAGCCCGCCGTTAACGGGTATAAGGTTTAGGGCTTAGAGTTTATAGGGTTTAGGATGCATACGGGTTGCAGGGTTTTAGGGTTTAGTTAGAGTTTAGGCTGAGATTCCATGCTGTGTGCAGGTCCAGCTGCTCCTTGGTGGTTTCGGCGGCACCTACAAAAAGCAGTTGAAACAGGCCCCGAAGGTCCAGGAATTCATCTACAAGGGCCGCGGTCTAGAGGAGGTTGACAAGCTTTGGAGCTCGATGGTCGAGCTGTTCGAGCCCAAGTTCACTTCCCCCAACGACAAGATGGACGGATACTTGCAGAAGATCCTCCAGGCGAGCTGGATGGTTGGATTCGATACCGGGGCTCACTACTTCGGCTGCTTGCCGAATGGGCTAGCCAGCATGAGACTCCTTTGCTCTGGCGAAATTCTGTGGCTGCTTTTCGAGATGAGGCAGCTTTCAGCTGCCATGAGGGTCGTCCTGCAGAAGGACGAGCTCGGAGGCCTCGAAGGGGTAGCCGAATTTATCAAGAACTTGGACGACAAGGGCATAGATGTCTTGTACAAGCAGGGCTGCACAGTTCACATGATCAAGCAAGAGCCAGGCCAAGTGTTGTTCGTGCCGACAGGTTGGTTTGCAGTGGAGCGCTGTGTCAAGGGCCTGCTCGTGTACGGGATTCGAAAAACGTTCATGTATCCCAGCCAGAAAGCCTTCACCAACTACGAGATCCTCCAGGGCGCTTTCGTCGAATCGAAGAAGCCAGTGGACAAAATGAAAGCAACGGCTACTTTCATCGCCCCTCCGGATCCTGAGTGATGGCTGGTCTTCTAGCCTTTCCCGTACGATCTTCCCACCACATAAGCCATTTGTCGTAGCTGTCTTGAGTCATCATGCCATGTATAATTTTAGGATTGATCCGACGGGATTGCATTGCAAGACCAAGCGCTCTCGAGCACATGATCGGATGCCTCACACTCTCGCGAAGCACAGACGTCGCAAAAGATCCGTGTTGTTGAAGCCGATACAAAGCCGTTGACAAGCCTACAGACCGAAGGCCCAACATCACCAACCTCTGTCAACTCCTAACTCCAATCCTCCAAATGCAGAGTAAATCAAACCTGTAGGTCATCAAGGTCATCACGAAGCTGTATTGATACTGACCTGTGACGCACGAACAGAAAGCCCATCGCGATTGTTTTTTCCGTTTGCTTGATTCGTGTTGAATGCTGCTGACATTGTTTTGTGCACCGAGATTTGACAAGCACTTTGCTTGCCAATGGTTCAACACACGAAATGCTGCTGTGCTCATGTCGTGTTGCACATTGCCAGGGGATCTCCATGGGATCTGTTTGCAAGTTTGTTTTGCAGCACTTTGGACATGAAGCTTATGCGATATGCTCGCATATGTCGCAGTTCACCCCGTCGCCCTGAGACGACCTGAGTTGAACGGGTTGGGAGTCTCCAAGCGAATTGGCGCAAATAGCCAGCTCTAAGCAAGATTCTAATATAAGAATCGTAATAAATGGCCATATATTCAGAAAGATATGCACCCGGAGACGAAATTCGTAGCAATAAAGCTTGCAGGAGAGCATATATACCCAGATACGTAGGAAAGTAAGTATATGCAAGATTAGCCTAATTCCCAGAACGGAGGGAGAAATAGAAAAGGCAAATCATTCCATTCCATAGACAAGAGGGACGATGAGAAAATACGTCGATTATCGAAGAAAAAAATATAAATACAGATGAAGATTCGGGAGGGGGGGGAGCCATAATCTATCTCATCCGCCAAGCGAAACGATCAGAGCTTAAATGAAAATTTCTATTTCTCATCTAAAAATCTCTTCTCTCAATAAATACCATCTAAAATTTACCTCTTCTTTATACGATGCCTCCCCCCAAAAAAATTAGAATTTAGGAGTGAATCGTACTTCTGACCAGGGGGGCACCAAAAGTTTTGGGTGCTTGCCCATACGCCAAGGGCATATTGATTGATAGTGAAGTGTGCAGCCTGAGGGGAATGGCTTCTTGTGCCATTTGGCGGAGGTGGCCCCTGACGTGCTGCTGGTGCGTGATGTGCGTGAGTAAGGTGGACCCTGGAGTCACTAGATTGCCCTGTCTCCGTGCTTGCGTCCCTTGCTTACTATCCTGGCGAAAGATCGCCATAAGAAGAGCTTTAGATCGTTGAAGCGGGCTATCTTGCCAAATACTCTATCCAACCCTTGCCGGATTAAACGTATCTTGCTCTTTCTTCTAGTTTAGGAGGGGCGGGTCCGTGGAGAACCAGGTGATATAAACGCGTATAGATGAGGGGCACGCGGTTGGCCCTTTAAGGCTTCGGGCTAGAGGGGGTACTACAATAAAACAAGACCGAGCACACCCTAGTCGACCACAGATATATATACATTTAGAATGAATATCGACTCTATAGACTATAGACCGTAATACATTTTCTATTTATTACTTGTCGAAATATACCTATTACAATCATAACCGAGAAAAGACGAATAATATAAAATATAGAAATTTTACTTTATATCTAATTATCACTTATAGAATAAACTCCAGCAATCACTACTTCGAAAGGCATTTCTGCCCCCCCCCCCCGCCCCAAGGCATTATTGGGTATGATTGGAATGCCTTCCCCCACCCCCCACCTAGGTCCCTGGATAAGGCACATGCCTGAATAGGTACATGTCTCAGTGCGCGCTCTCTTCCCTTCCAAGCCTCCCCCTTCCCGCAAAGCAACCCCCGGTTTTCGGCCTGAGATAGGGGGGTTGCTTCAAGGCATTTTCGGCACCAATCCCAACCGCCCTGCCCAGCGGGGACGCGGTGCCGGCCCTGTGCTCCGACGGTCAGGTGCCAAACTAAAATCCCCGATGCAGGCTCTGAAGCCTTGAACAGTACACAGTGACTGATACGAATCGGGGATTTTATGCACGCAAAGTTTCACCCAAAGCTCATCTGTCTCATGATAGTCCAGACGAAGCTCGCAGTTCCCTTTGGCATGAGAACATGCACCCCGGAGACCACGGATTCCTTAGACCAGCCCGAATGTGCTCTTAGCCTCCAAGCGAGCATCGGAAATAAAATAAGCTTTCCTAGGGCATCCGAAAGGGTGGGGGCGCAAGGCATTTCAGGGGCTGAAAAAGGTATTTTATTACCTTCCGGGAGTCCCCGTACAAGGGGGGCCGCAAGGCATTCTCCAAGAATAGTGCTCTCCAGCATATTTATAATTATATTTCACCTAATACTTATACTAAAAATATTATATAGAATTTCAAGAAAATATCAAATCCTACGAAATTTGCGAATCTATTTTCCAGTCTGAGAAATTTTTAATGATTCTTATATATGATTTTATATCTATCTAAAAAAATATATATACTATGACTAGAAAATCTCGTATATATAGAATTAGTAAAGGAAAGATAAATATCATAATTCTATTGGATATTAGAATAAAGAGTTGAAATTCGATCGAATAATATCATAAACATATGAAAATAATAGTCTCGAGTCCTACAAAGTCAAATATCATATTGAGAGGTCCATGGAAGCCTGATCGACACTATGATCTAGTGCTTGAACTAGCACATATAATGTTTTCTGCGATTTCAAGCACCCGTGACTGATTTAGTGCGCATCGACTCATCGCCAAGACGCCAGCAAAAAGGACTCAACATGATGAAAATCACCGGGTTTCAATTTGGTGTGGCCCACCCAGGGGCCCAGAGCCTTTAAACACATCCGAATTTTTTTCACTTCTGAGTGCTTTGATTTAAAGCTCTAAGCAAGCCAGGATACATGCATCTGCTAGATCTTATTTATCTCCCAGCCTCTAGGATGTGAAGTGCGAATTGCCGCGTCTTTTGTTCATGTCACTTGCCACCACCAGACACCGTCCATCGCCAAGTTGATATATGTGCCGTCCTCAGTGGCGTCACATGTCCGTTGATGCCCAGGAGCAGGCAACAAACGTTCAGTGGAGCCAATTGCTGCTCACCTCATCCTGAAAAAGCCTTCCGAGCGGAGGGATCAGGGCAAAAATGGTCCTGCGGGATTCGTTCTGCTCGTTTTGGTTTGCAGCCGAGGAGCCGTCGTCATCCTGTACTCAGAGACCGCCCATAGTAATGGTGGATGCCTGATTGTTGTTACTATGTTTAGTCTTATTCGTATGTTTAGCTGTTCCATGCCTTCTCGGATCCATGGTCGCGAATTTGCTCATCAACCGATGCGACAAGAGGGCTCCGGCATGTCGACGCGTGTGCACGACACACACACACAAAAACAACTCTGCATAAAGCAAGCAGCCACAAAATTCAGAGTTCAAAATTGCACGAGTCTCTATGTCCGTACTCAATTTGCTCTTGGACCTCATCTTTGGTTTGCTATCGTTGCCCGAGGAGTTGACGTCCCGCAAACACATACACGGAGCCCTGTGGCCTCACAGTGAAGTCGTGCCCAGCGATGATGCCGCCTTTCTTCACGCGTGGCTCCCAAAGATGGAGGTCCTTGCGATGTCTGTCTAACACAAACCGCCATACTCATAATCGTCATAGTAATGTTCATTATCATAGTAGTCGTGGTCGTAGTAGTGATAGCAATACTACTGACAATAGCAACACCAATAGTCATACTCACAAAAACCATGTCATTATGGTCATATGAAATCATTCTGGTCATATCAAATCACAATGAAAAGCATCATCGTGATAAGAACGAGAACAATCACAATAACTGACACTTACCTCGAAGCCGAAGTTCCGAAGAGGAGCCGAGCCCTTGATCTTGGTTTTCCCTTCGCGCGGGAGCTCGCACGAAGGCTTTGGGTGGGGCTCCAGGTGCTTTACCGGTGCAAGCTTGTGACCCTTGCTGGCCTCATTAGTCATTGATTTGATTTGAAGAACTGTTGTAGAACGTCTTGTGTTGTTGTTAGTATTGCTCTGCGGTATGCAAACCTGTGGTGGTTGAGGAAGTAGCGGCTGACAAGTAGGATTCCAGGTGACCTTTCAAGCTTGAAGCAGGCTTCTGCGAGAAAGCTCCCAGCACGGTCCTCCAGAGTGAACCCTAGCTAGCATTACCCGGGCGTCTTAAACCCACTTTTTCCTTAATGAAAATATAACTTAATAAGACCGGCCGGTGGCTCGGTCCCTAAACCCTGCACCGTTAAGGCAAGGAGCGTTTCTCACGTTCGCATAGGTATGTGGACCATCCACGAAGACGATGTCCATGGGCTCTTTGTCTGCCAACCTGAGTCGGTGGCCAAACGTTTTAGGGTTTGTTTGGGTTCGGCTTTTAGGGGGCTAAGAATTACAAGCACCAGTAAGTCGGAGCCGATCGGCCAGGACACACCGCAACTCCAAACACTCGACAAGTGGAGAGTACCGCTCAAAGCTTCGGGTGTTCGCTCTGGAACCCGGCTCAAGGCTCAAGGGCCCGGGTGAAAATATGCCAGGGGCATGTAGGTAAGATAGGGGAGCTGTATCAGAGCCGTCGCTCCCACACGCATAAAAAAAGAACCTGAGCGGAGAAACTGAGAAGCTCCGGTTCTGTCTTCTTCAGGATGTGGGCTACAAAGTCGAACCTGGGTTTACCAAGCAAGAATGCTACAACTAAGGTGGTGGTGGATGACAAGGCCTCGGGCCCTCCAAAGCGATGACATGCTCAAATATGCACCTGGAAGAATGATGCCCGTGAAGCTCTTCAAGTTCGAGGACGTAGCCCTTAAACCTCGTGCAATGAGTCTGAACGCCCAGACTTCGACCAAGCGCTGCCAAACCTCAAGCGAGGCCGTTAAGCTGCACACACACTCTATGGTGTTCTTAGCTGAACTTCTTCTACCAACGCTACCCGATTCAGGCCCCAAGGTCCGAAAATATCTCATACCATCTCATACCCCAAGACCCAAAGCCACACAGCTCTGACCTTGAAGCACAAACTCCACGCATCTGGAAGATCCTACAGAAATCAATTACACAGCATCTGTACAAACGGAAAAGAACGGCCCAGTAGCGCTTGATGCATCTCTTCACTCGTTGTGGCGTGCAGCTCCGCACGCGCGGCGTAGGGCCTGGGCACTTAGGCTGCTTCATTTGGTTGTTGATCTAAACTGCTTCATCCCGGAATGACCTTCTTCATGGAAAAAGGGGTAACATCGCGGAACTTCGCGGAGGCATATCTCGATACCTTCGCAAGCTAGAACACCAATTCCTTTGAGGGTTTGAAGGCTCTTTTAAGACGGAAATCCAACCCCTAAGACGGCCTTAGGCGGCTCTACAGAAGCCCTGAAGTCTGCAGGAAAGGCTGCCGGAGACTCTCAATCAATTATGCCCCCGAGAACAAACTGTGTAAGGGACGCAACGAAGAGCTAAAAGACAATACCTGCAAGCTGACGCTGCTGACTGAGGGTCATGATTGAGTTCAGGACAGTACATGCCAAGATCGAAAACCAGACCAAGGATAAGAATGATGCTGGTGATGGTGAGGAATGACAGTCATGAGACCAATGATGCTCAAAGTATTGTACGGCCGTGACCGGAGTTCGAAGACACAAGCAATTCAAAAAGCATGACGCATGGCTTTGCACCCGTTCACAAAGAGGCGGGAGGTTGAAACTCAACATGTACGTTTTACGAATCGGTGCAGTGTCAGGGCTTGGTGAATTGCTGGTTTTGGTGGGGGTGTTGCACGGGGTGTCGATTCAAACTAGACCGCATCCTTTCAATGCTTCGATGGCCTCTATACCTCGCAGTGCAGGAATTCTGCACCCACAACAGCCCTCCTCCTCACACAGAACAAGGAATCGCCTTTCTCGGGGATCCGGGATTCCGTCCTGTTGTGCATAGCTTGCTTTCCGTACAGCAATGTCCATGGTCCTAGCAATAGTAACAGTCGTGTAGCTTACTGCGTAGCTGAAGTTGTTGGACTCCCATCTTGAGGCTAAACCACATGTCTAACCGGGGTTACGACACACTCCGAAACCGGCTCGACTCACAGACATGCAGGCTTTATCGCCAAAATTGCTACGGGCGCGCATGCAGCAGCCACATTCATGGTTGGTTTGTGATTCCAGCGCTGTTGCCTAGCTACATAAAGAATGTGGTTGAGACAGTCCTTGTAGTTCTTCCCTTGGTATGTTAGTATATCGTATACGAATTGTGTAGCTAGGCTTGTCGCCGCTGCTGTTGCTACCGGTTGCGCTTGAACCTCAACCTCAGCGCCTGAATACTAAATAACTACGTCTGCCGCCACCACAACAACAGGAGCCACTGCAATCAGGCCAAAGAGCAGGGTTGGAAAGAACACAAGCATGAGCATTAGCATCATTAGCAGCAGCAGTAACAGCACCACCGGCAGCAGCAACAAGGAACAGGAGCAGTGGTGGCAGCAACAGTCGGAAGAAGAAGAACAACAGCAACAACAGACCACCATCACAACCACCGAAACGGTGACGACAACAGCAACAGCAACAGCATCAGCAGCAGCAACAACAACGACGACGACACCACCAACAGCAACAGCTTAGGCGCCGTAAAACAGCCCCTAAACTCAAGCTCGACCACCCAGCTCAAGCTGATCCTGCCTGCGCTTGAGGCTGCAAAATGAACAAGCCTTGCGCACTGAAGCACCACAAACCAACAGTGCCGGACCGCAACGCGAACTCCTGACCGGAAACTCTGTGCACAAACAGCTCCAACACCCGGAATGCCAAGGCCGAAATCACACCCGAAGCAAAAGGGCATCTGTGAGTCTCCGACGAGTATGCCTCCCTCACCTCGTCCTTGATTGTCGGATCAGCGCCGAAGTAGCGGAGTTGTGGGAAACGCGCGAGCAAGTGGAGGCCTCTGGATCAGAGATGGTGGTGATGATAAGCACGTACAGAACATGGGAACCACACACAAAGCGAGCCGAAACATGTCATTCCGACTTCGGGATGTCCGTTGCATGCTTGCTTTTCAAGGTTTGGCTTTGCACCTTGAGAAGCAAGCCTTGGCGGACAAGAAGCATCTTCTGATTTACTGTAAGAGTTCCCACCCCCTAAATCCAAATTCCTAAGGCCCAGACAACCCTTGCAAACATCGAACCAACCTTCTAAATCGCCCTTACACGCTGGTGTGCTCTGGTGCTGCCTTCCTTTACAAGTGCTTCAGTCGCAACTGGGCCTTATGGTAATCCAGACTGTCCATATTCTCTTCTAGCGCTGCTTCACGACAAGATCGCACAAGCAGCAACCTGCAGTCTTGACCTTGGTGGTAACCCTGCGCGGTTTGCGTAGCTACCTGGATACTGTACTGCCCCTGCTTCTGCACACGAAGCACTTGTCTGTGGAAACATGACTGGAGGGAGGGATGTCGTCAAACTGACACCCTCTGTGGATCCTGAAAACGCCAGAGGGGAAGCACGACCCTCCTAGCTTCCTAGCACACCCTTAACTCTGAGAGTATTCCCTTCCAGTAGAGACTGAAGCAAGAGCAGGACATGCTCGTGGAACAGTGTCGCTCCTTTTGACACCATTCGCTGTCAACTAGTTATAAGGCATGACTTGAAAAAGAGTCTTTTCTGTATGCATGTGCATGTGGACTGTATGTATGTATATATATATATATGTGCATATTTAGGTATGTATACCTGCGTGTGTACCCACACACATATCCGTGTGTATGTCTATATATGTATGTATATATATATATATACATATATACATATGAACAGTATGAACCTGAACACTGTTTATGAGGTCCACCTCGTGTTTGTATTGAAAGAAGCTTCAAAAACTGATCACCAGTTGCTGGCCGGCGACCCATGGGCCCACATGCGACACCCAACTCGGCCATGCGAATCTCGAGATCAGGCTGGCCTAGCAGTTGATGATTTGGCCGCTTCTTGGACATCAACTGTCAGCATATCGACTCACAGCTACCAACTTGCACTCAACTTTTGGGCTGGGCCCAAAGCCTGGAATCATAATGACAAAGCTGAAGCATGGAGTGCATGGCATGCGGTTCAGGAGAGCCTGAACCCTTAGACCCACTCTCCTCGCCTTTCTGCTTCTCCAGGCCGTCCAGTAGGCGCTCGAGAACGTCGAAATGCCTGCACGGATTGGTCTGCTATGCAGCATTTCCTCATCATCCAAACCCGAAACGCAGACGACAACATGAGGCACCTGCAAGGCAACTCGCAGGCTTATCTATCAGGTGGGCAATCACAGTGAAAAAATCAATTTGTGTCGAGCGCATGCTCTGCGACCTGACCATCTACTCTGTAGAGAAGAAACTGCTGCCTGCCGTAGAAGCGCGTCTGGAAACGATATGTAGGCAGCTGGCTCCTGATTTCGATGCCGATCGATCGGATTGTTCCGGCTTGCGGCGTGAAACTTGTGGGACCTGAAGCCTTCGAATTTTTCCGGAAGCTGCTCTGGATCTTTCGAAAAGCCCAGTCTCTGGATGTTGGGATACACATCGGAGAGCTCCAGAGCCAGCTGCTTCAGTCCCCAGATGGTCCGCGAGTGCTCCATGACCTCCGTCGCAGGAACTTCTGTACGGCCCTTCGCGATTAGAATAAGGTTCAAGGGTAAGTTACAGCACTGTTACAATCAGAAACCCTTAAGGAACAGCATTGGTAACTTGTTGGGCCTTACATTAGGGTTCGCTTGTCTGGGAGCCCGCGCGGTTGGGCCCAACAGCTCAGACCGGGATGATCGACATTCTCTTTGCTTGGCGCTCAGCCTTGTGTTTCTTTCGCCGAGGGTTTCGGTTTAGGATGTGAGACTTCGGGTGTTGACCCATGAGCCCGGAAATCGCGATTGCAGCATCCAGCCTTTGTTTGGGATGCAAGGTCCTCTTAACGCCAGCTGTAGTGCCTGGGACCCAAACCTTGGGTCGATCACAGTACCAGTACTTCACTAAGCAATACTGGGGCCCGAATGATGCCATACTAGCCCGTTGCGACAAACTATGCCAAACCCCTACCCCAGCTTCAAACAGTAATCCCCAACCCGGAACCTTAACGTTAGGACTTCTAGAACCCCGACATCTGACGCCCTGAAGGCAACAAACTTCAAGCTTCAAGCCGTAATATGACATGATGTGATAAACAACAAAACAGCCAGCCAGCCGATCGACCACCTGATGTCTGTACCCCACATTTGCCATCCTAAAGAATGGTTGTTGCCTTTGCTTGTCCCTTGAAGTTTTGCCCAGAATCCCAAACCCTACTCCAGTCTTTTCAAGCCAATGCAGAGTACCCCTTATAGAACCGTTAAGGGAACCCTACCCAACCGTGAAGGCACCTTTTCTAAACCGAAGGGCCTGCCGGGCCAGGCGCCCGAGCTCCATGGCCAGGACAGCCAGGGCTGCATCCGCCCCGCCATCAGATCCCAGAGGTTCAAGCTCCTGCTGTAATGTAGTGGCCGAAACAGTTAGCATAGGGCTCGTTTCAGGGCTTTCTTGAAGAATTACCATAAGGGACCAATGTAAGGGCCCTAATGATGCGGACAGGGCTTTGCGGCGTATGACACCGTAACTACATGGGACTATGATGGACTACTATTACTAAGTACCCAGACCCCTAGATTGTTGACCATACACGATGAGCACACAATAAAAAGCTGCCCATCAGCGGAGAACGCCGAATCCGCCGGAGTCCGGACAAGCACTGAATACCATATCGGAGCAAGGGGTTTGGGTTTAGGGCTTTCTCTATGATACTGACAGGATCCCGGGTAGGTTTTCTCAGCCATCTAACGGCACGGCCGGAATAGCGTGAGCGGGGGCCGGCCAGCTGAAAGCAGGACGCTCTCCAGGATCGTTCAACCGAACACATCCCCGATTTGTAAAACGGGGTTTCTGAACAGCTAGCAACCATATTCCTTGACTGTAGTTGCTATATAGATATACTACTACTACTACTACTACTACTACTACTACTACTACGACTACTACGACTACTACGACTACTACGACTACGACTGCTACTACTACGACTGCTACTATGATATTGGTTCCTCCCAGGGCTACCAGTTGGTCCTGACTTGCCCTGCTCCCGAGCCCTGGACTTCCCCAATACTGTGGACATCCCGGAGTCGAAGCCGAATTCAGGATGGGTTGAGGCCTTTATATACATATGTATATATATATATATATATATATATATATGTATGTGCCGTGCGTATATATATATATATATATATATATGTTTATATATATATATATATATATATATATATAAAAGATAAATACATATAATATGTATGTATGTATGTATGTATTATATATACATATATATATACACACGTATAGTACAGAGGGGTTTAGGGTCGAATTGGGGCAAATCGAGCCATTCGTTGCAACGCTTTGGAAACGTCAGGGAGCTTCCAGAAGCCAAGGGATTTTGTAGGTTTCGGGCACTTATAGATGGCTGGAATTCGTTTCATTGCGGATTCTTCCGTACTAGGTTCAAACCCTTCAGCCCCGAACCCCAAGACCAGTGAGCAAACCCACAAAGGCCTAAAGCTCTGAAGCCCTCCAGCCCTGAGTGCCGAAACGCTAAACCCTAAGCAACTGAACCCACCAATTACGAACTCCAGCCATAAGGCCTCCAGGGATGCACCCATCGCCTTTCAGAGCGCAACAGTTCGTTGCGGGCTTCTATGCTGGTCGACATGCCCGGGAGACTATCTAGAATCTAGAACAGAATCTAGACGGCCAGCAGCAACTAGAAACCATCGCAGATGGGACGGAAGCGCTACTGCTTCGCAGAAAGTCGATTAGCAGTTTCGGCTTTGGCTGTTGTAGCAACTCTTATCAAACAGACGGTGTCTCCCTTCGGCTAGGAATACGGAGAATTGAGGAGGGCACCCCATAGCACAGGCTGTTGTGGTGTGGCGTCAGGTGTTGACTAGAAAACACGGTCAGATTGGAAGAAGCTCAAATCCATACCCTGTAGTACAAGCCCTTCAAGTAATCGTTGTGGTAGCCAATTACCTTGTCCCACGAGCTCATGATAATGACGATAGTTCTCATCGTTATCGTCACAAAAGTAATGGTACTATATGGCAAGAGTGCCAATGTCCCAAGGCATCCTTCAATCGCCTGGAACACAAGACCAGGACTCAGGTTTGTGTGGAATCCTCTTTGATGGGGCATCTATTCACTTTCCCTGCTAGGAAGCAATCTTTTTTCCATCTCTGTGTATCTACATAATATACATATATATATATATATTATATGTATCACATGTATCTATCTCTATAAACTTCTGGATGCTTCTGTGTAGATCTGCCTACCGAATCCTCGAAGCTCTGACACCGGACCTGGGACAGAGCCAGCTGCCCCGAAGATGCCAGAGCCTGCTATACTTCGGGTACCAGGATCTGTCCATCTTTTTTTTAAAGCTCCCTTTTCAAAGGCCACCCATCCAGCTTCCAAGAAGTTTAAGGTGTAGGGCTTAGGGTATGGGGTTTAGGGCTTCTGGTTAAGGGTTTAGGGCTCAATGCGAAGTCCGTCATTTTCTGAAACTACTATTTGAGCGTTGCTCATAAGGCCCCCGAACATGAAACTACTCTTTCCAAAAGGGTTGCAGGATTCTCGATGACCTCTAGTGTTTCTGTGTTTCAACTTCAAGCCCCATGCCCGCAGCATCCGAAACCCTGCAACCCCAAGCAAAAGTCCCTGAACCGGCAGGCATATTCCAACGGAAGACTGCGTGGCGAGCATTGGTTTCTTTGTTACAAATGAAGGAGAGATGTTCTATGTTGAGACACTAATTGCTCTGTAGCATTAGTGACAGCATTCGGGCGTGCTACGGCCGGCCCACACCAGCTTCGGCCAGGATGAAATGGCGAGCTTGACGTGCAATATCAGGAGGCGACATCCAGAACAAGTCGCAGAGCTGGCATGCGAAGAGTTCGGCCGTGGTGGAGGAGTGTTTCAATGCGAGAATCGTAATTGATCTGTGCTAGGTGTACGGTGCACCGTCAACAAGGCCGTCATACTTCGGGCACGGATGTCTGGCTCTTCAGGTAATCTGACCGGGAAACATGGACCTCATCCCCTGAACCCGAAACCCCAAATATGGATTATGCACGGCTCATGGCGACTTGGATCTTCGGATGCCTTGCTCACGAAACAGCACTCGAAGCTGCAGCTCGTTAAGGCGAGTATAGTATAGCACAGCACAGTACCAAGTACAGTATAGTAAAATGAAGTTTAGTATATAGTATAGCGAATTACAGTGCAGTAAAGTCTAGTCTAGTCTGGTCTAGTAGAGTGAACTGATTCAATTTGCATGGTCTGGCTCCAGGATGCTGTGTTCGATGCAGGCGCATATGACCAAAACCCAGTCAGACCACGATATGTCAAATAAAGCCTAACCCAAAATTATCAGAGTGTTTAGCCCGTCTTTCTATCCATCTAGCTGTTCTTGAAGACCCCAAAATCCTGTGCCCACAACCCTAATTCCTGGAAAGAGCTAAGCCCACAGCTGTGCTGCCCAGAACTAAAGCTATGAGGCTCCATTCTGAAGCCCTACAGACCCAAAATGGAGGGTGAGTGCTTTCAGACGAGTTTTTCAAAAGCACTTCATGTTGGCGGCTATAGTGCTTAGTCTATGATCAAGGCTACCGCAAGGGTTCGCAAAAATCCTACACTATCGGCCTGTAAAAGAGTAGGAGTCTCATTCCCAGCGAAGGAGATGTCGACAGATGCGGTGGCTGCGCCGGCAGCCCGCCTGGACGTCTCCTTAGCCATGAAAGGGCTTGGAAAGTGATCCACTCCGGAGCTTCCGAGAAACAGACGAGAAACTTTCCGCTAAGCCTATTCTGATTATTGGGTCGCTATACTATTGCGCATTCGTGACGATCTTCTGGGGGCTCTGTTGACCAGCACTGACCTTGACTTTTGGGGGGAGTCCAACATCTCGTGAAGAACAGCTAGAGAGCACTAGATTGTACTTCGTCGTAGACAGTACTGGCAACGCCAATGATCTTTATCCAGGCATGAACACTGACACCAAACCCTCAAGCACTCAGGGTGTAGGTGAGCCTTGTGTCCTTCCACTGCCGCGACAGCACGCGCATGGCATTCTCCCGTCGAGGCTTCAGGCAGCTGATCTCCTGGAGCCCCGAGTTTCACTCTAAGAGGCCGCTTGCTGTTTTTCGCCTTAGCCTCGAAGCTCTTCGGCTGTGGCTTTGCAGGGCTTTGGGATGAGATTTACGTTTGTTTTGTATTCCTCACTCCCATGAAGAAATCTTGTTGCTCCCGACTAGGCTTCGGTTCGGTGGCTAGAGGGGCAACCGGGCAACGGGTTCGATTACCTTTAGCGAGAGATGACAGGACCAAGGACAGCTTACAACAGCTGAGCGAAACTATGCGGCCACATAAATGCGGCACTTCGGACACCTTTCTCGGAAGACGGATCTGAACATCTGAAGCCCCACAGCGCTTTGCCCGAAACAATTGCGCCGCCTGGTCGCGACATGACAGCGCTGAGCGCCGGGCTCCTCGCTCGGGGCGCAAAGGCTTTGACATTGTGTGCAGACCGTTGTTTCGGGATGGTTATGTGGCCTTTTGAACCTTCTTGGCCTTCCATACTGAATCAGGATCTCATCTCAGCGGGAGTTCGGCAAGCGCAGGGCATATGGACTCACGAAAAACGTGCTCTACCCTGGTCCAGACACAAATGCTGTCCTCATCCTGCCCTGCTTGCCAAAAAAGCCTAAGTGGCCATGGCCCCTAGAAGGGATGGTCACTCCTTGCCACGCCGAGATTGAAAGCAGCTGGAGGGACTGGCACAGTTCTCGCGCACTGCGTTTGTCCTGCTGGAGTTGGCGCTTGGGGGGTTTCTTCGGAGTCTTGGTCCCAGGAGTGTCCCCATTGCTCGGGAGGATATCACGGCTTTAGGTCTTTGGCTGCTTACTAAGTCATGTGTGTCAGACAGGCAGTGCAGCTGCACACTCTCGGCGATCTTGTCAGTTGTCGGGTAAATTGGCCCCCCTGTCGAGCACTATCGACGAAACTGTTGAAAAAACACTTGCGACGTAAGCAGGATCGCCGAACCCTTCCGCATAGAGGGGATTCTCTCCACAAACAGGAATACCAATGCAGTACAGACAGGCTCATCTGAAGCTGCCTTGTGCAGCGCTGGCTGAAGTGGAGAATTGGGAGTTCGATCACCGGAGCTTCAAGTTGCGGCCCTGACTCCCTAAGGCTTCAACGCCGAACACAGCAAAGCACAACAGCCGAAATAAGATTGAACTCCCTCGGACCAGGCAGAGTACCGAAAAACTGGGCATCTTAACGGTTCTGGCCTGCTCCGCCCCCCGAAAGCGAAGGTACTCCTCAGGGGCTGCGGCCAGGCTCCATGCCTGCAAGCGGGACTTTGGGCCTGGGGTTCTTGAGCTGCACCTCGAAGCGAGACGGGAGCAAACTCTGAGGTCGTACGCCCTTAACCCTCAGACTCAGACTTCGACATCTTGCAGTTCTCAGAGAGTCCAATGCACTGCCACTGCAAAGGCGCCATCCAGAGGTCGAGACAAACAAGCAAGACCTTACATAAGCTATCATTGCGCACGCTGTCAAAAGGATGAGGACAAACTGTCTCGATCCCGACATCAACGTTTAACGCTTTTGGCGTCGGGACAGCTGGTGGCGGTCATCCTCTACAGCCCAGCCCGTGTGGTTGCGAATCAACATGCCAGGAACCCTTCCCCACCTGCTTTACAAGGGCCCGAAGAATTAGAACAGGGCTTGGGGTCATCTTATACCGCAGGTGTCAATGGGTTTTGCAGGAATCTTGAAAACTCGCTCATGACTGACGCGGCCATGTTCAACTCCTCGAAGCCGAAAGCGCCGGATCCCGAAGCGTGCCTGACGCTGGATGTCCACAGGGAACATCAGGTGGGCATCACAGACCTGCTGCAATCGTCGGCTTTCTGGGTTTCGGCTGGGCTTCTGGTGCAGATGAGGTCGGGGCTTCAGGTTCCTGTAGGATTTGGTAACTCGAAAGGCCTCACAGCACGAAGGTTTACGGACTCAGGGGCAGGTTTATAGGATCCCAATCCGTCGACTCCGACCTCCGGAGCAGCCAACCAGGCTTCGATGTCTTCGGCTGTGGCCTCACAGGCATCTCCGTGCAGAATCCTGGACACGCGCGCCGACCACATAGACCCATAAATCCATCGACCTCGAAATTGTCACTGGCACCCGTCACCTGAAATGAACAGCCTGACACGACGACGAGGTGCTTGTCATGCTGCCTTCAACCCCAACCCCGAAACCCCCGCATCATCCTGGCACTCGAAGTTCAGAAATCAAGAGCTGCGGACATCTTGAGCTCAAGAAACGAACGCTCACAAATTCGCAACTTAACGAAGCCAAGTCGCTTTTGTCAGCTCGGTGTGCCCCTTGGCCGAGCCACCACCTCTCAGAGAACCACGAGTCCAACTTCGCGCAGGCCGTGGGGAATATGTGGATTTTCTAACTCACTTCCTGTGCGCCATTTTCTGTATGCGCCTGTGGGCATGTTGCCTGTCGGTGCCAGGGGGCAGGACGTGCCTGCACCCGAAAGCGTCCCTTTTCGGTGTCGTGGCATGGATGATGGATGAGTGCTTTCAGGTGAACTGATTCCGTTTTCAGTGGTGCCGGCAGCAAGAGACACTCGTTCTATCTCGTTCTGCTTCCGATGCTGCGTTCCTCGACAGGCTTCGTGTCAAACGAGCTTGCTGACGACTCAGGCTCAAATGGACCAAATCCTGCTCGCACGGTTCCTGAACTCAAGAACCTGCTGGGCTCTCCTGCGGCTCAAAGCCCGTCAAAGAAGCCAAACGGCCAACTCTAAGTCCTATTCCTGCCCGGAAATCGAAACTACAGCAACATGCTGGTCGAGATCCTTCGCGCAAGATTGTTGGATTTCAAGACAAAAGTCGCCCGCTCTCTCTCCCTCTGTCTCCCTCTCCCTCCCTCCGCAACACAAGTCATCATCCGCCGCACTTTCACCTTCTTCGATGAGCAAGACATCTTTGCGATCCGGGCGTCGGTCCAAGGACAATTCGCCAAGAGCGTCGTAGCAGCCGCGGCAGTCTCCGAGGCAGTGCAGCGACCCCTGGACAAGAACGAAGACCCCGAACTCGGGACCTCAATCGATTCCCTTGGGCCTGCCGCTCTAAGGCTCCAGGGCTTTGGGGCTTAAGCTTTCGGGAATGCGGCGAGAATCTTCGGCATTGTTGCATCTTCGGCCTGCAAAGGCAGATTCTCGCGATCAGAATTTTGCGGCGCTGCGCAGATCCAGAGTGTCAAAAAGCAAAGGAAGACTCGCGTCGTCAGGTTTACGTTATATATCGTAAACGCAATGGCCGATGACGAACCACGTCGGTCCGACACGAGTCAAGCCTACGAAGATCCCTGCAGCCCAGGCCGCAAAGCTCCATTGGACGCTGATCCTGTGCACCTGGACCTTAGCCCTGGGGTCCTCCAACTGCAAACCCGCAATTTATCATTGGGTACCACATTATATTAATCCCTTCATCCGTTTAATAAAAGCCCCATATTTCCAATGATTTAGGGCCTTCAATTTCTTGTATTGAGGGGTTTTCGGGTGGTTTCAGGCTTCGCTTTTCAGTGATTTTCCGGATTTCGGTGAACTTGGAGTCAAACTAGGAATTCCCAGGCTAGAGGCACCCCAGCCTGGTAGTTCAAATCAGTTCCCGCATTATGGCCATCCTACTGGTACCTGACTCCTCATTCAACAGAGTTTACGTCTGTTCATTTTTGAACTTCTTGCTCGACACTGTGATTTCTTTCCGGCCGGGAATACTTTATATTGGGGGGATTACATAATATGTTATCTTGTATGACCTGAACTTACCCCATATTCCTACCATATTGTACCATATCGTTTAACTTCTCCCCGAAGCTGAAGCATGGGAAGGGTGCCTCACGCTGGCCAAGAAATGACCTCAGCCGTACGCGAGCGAAGTTTCTCCGTACCAGAGAGCAGAGGCTGTTTGGGGTTCAGGGCTATGGAGGGAGCGCGAGATTGAGCATAGAGTCTCAAGCAGTGGAAGTGTGTAGACCGTGTAATCACCTAGTAGAAAACAGGTCCCTTTCCGTGCGATCGTGAGGATCCCTTTAATTCGATAATAGGTCTCTAGGCAAACCTTCCAGGCTTTTAGGGGCAGATTCTTCTTACGATTCTATTGCAACTATCGCTATGACCAAAATTCTCATGTTACCTTTCTTCTTCTTCTTCGTATCTTGATTGCTCACTTCCCCTTTTATTAAACACCCCCCGGGTAATAAACCACGCATTGGATTGAATCCTCCCGAAATCATCCCTGCCCTTCAAAACCTGTTCTGAAATGGGGGGAGCAAGAGCAAGAGCAGGAGCATCAGCATGAGACGGAGTAAGAGCAAGAGGAGGAGCGAAGGCGGAAGCAACAGCAAGAGCAGGAGCAGGCGCAAGACGCAGCAGAAGCAGGAGCAAAAGCCAGCGTGGGAGCAACAGCCAGAGCAGGAGCGAGAGCACGACCCCTCAAAAGTGGCAGTAGAGATCAAAATAGCCCCTCACAATTAACACACATTCCGAGTTTCTAAATATCGGGGGAGCACCCCCGGGAGTCTGAGGTGAGTTCGGCTTCGGAAGGATCTGCAGATCTCAATGGGCTGAGTTCACGGCTCTGGCTCTGGAAGGCAATCTAAAGTAATGGAATAGAGAGCTTAGGGCTTTCAGGGTTTAAACAATCTAATGTGTAGGATGTGAAGGAGCGGGCTTTGTATGCTTGGGTTCTGCAACACATCTTGTGCAGGGTGTCGAAGCTGAGGTTCGGCCTTCAAGACGTCGGGGTCAGAGGACTATGTGTGATCTCAGCACGGAAGTTGGGCAGCGGGGCCTCTTTGCAGACTCACGTGAAGCAAGCATGAAACATGATATTTCTAAAAACCTGCTGCATCTTTCCACATTCTCCAACCCATTCGGTGTCCCTTCTGCAATGTATGAGGCGGTTTAATTTGGGAACAACTCCGCACCCCCTGTACCAGGTGCTCGCACTGCTCGTCGGCTGCGCATCCAGCGACGCCGAGCAGCACCACAACCCGCAGTGGCACCGAACCCATGGCATTTAAGGGGCTTTGCGCGGCCTCTGATTTCCGTCCATGGGCCAGGTAAGGTTTTGTCGAAAGACAGCTGGCTTTTGAGCACAGTTGGAACTGGATTCTTCCGGAAGTGGCTGTCTTGTCGGGTACGGGCATTGGCTGATCGGTGCCAAGGATTCCGGGTCATGTTGCAAGCGGAAGCTATTGGCCTGCACACGAGCTGGAGGCTGGAGGTACATACAAACATTCATATATGTACACATGCATATATGTTTTCAGCAATGCGTTCAACTCAACTTGCTCATCTGCGGAGGATTCTACAAGGCATACATTGATTCCACAATGAGTTTGCAGACACCGTGTCGGTTTCCTTAAGTTTACCAACGCCGGCTGGAGCCTCTGGAAGCTGCGAAAAGGACGGTTTTCCGTGCAGAGCCCTTTGCCATTCAACGCGGAGGAATCGTCCACCCGCTTGTGGTGCCAAGTGCAGCAAGCAAGCAAGACAGGAAGATGTCCCCCATTTACTGTAGGGTGATGCCACCCCCCTGTCCACCGCGCTCCATGACAACACTACCCCAAGTGGCATATACTCTACACGCAACACGTCCTCCCCAGTCCTCCGCTGCCCCTGATCAGTTGATTAGATCGAAGCGTGCAAGCGAAAAAATCCAGGAGACCAGCTCTTTGTAGCCTTGGCTGGCGTGGTGCTGCTTCCGCCTGCTGCGGTCAAGAAACTGCCTGCGGTGAAAAGTCGCCCTTACGACCTGCAAAGATGGCGAAGGCACCGGAGCATGCCAGGGGATGTGCGTGTGTCTCTCTGTCTGTGTCAAAGCCTCCGCTTTGTTGTTTCAGCTAAGCGCGAGTGCCGCGACTAGTTTTCAGATAAAGGCGACCTCTTGAACCAGAGGCAAACACAAGAAGAAAACGATGGGTGCTCGAAGCCGTCGCGAACTTATGCGAATGAGCAAAATCACCACCACAGACTGCTTGAGCTGACTGAGACGGCCGATCTTCGCGGCGTGCCGAGCTCACAACTGGAACAATTTCTCGTTTCCAGATGGAGTTTGAAAATTGGGGGCCCTCAGTTGCAGTGCTGAGCTCTGTAATCCACATCAGGCCTTCACTGCAATGTTGCGGCTTTGTCCAACCGTCACACCCCCAAGCAAGGACTACACCAGCCCTGAAATGCAGAATGCAGCAAAACAGTCCCATCGCCTCATCCCCTACATTGGCGTTTACTTCGCCCTTTGCTTTGGACACTGCAAGCTATCCAAACCCACCTCGCCAGAATAAGGTTAAGGATGCTTCACATGCAAGTCGTTCTATTCTCTAGCCTGCCTTACGGCCTTGACAAATAATGTGATAGAAACCAAGAGCCTCAGAACCTGCGCTTTGAACAACATCCAGACTCTAAACACCCTTCCTCCACTTGGTCTTCTTCTCATCCGTACGTATGCAAAGGTGTCTATATCTGTCCGAAGCACGGCCCCTCGCCCCACACCACAACGAATCACGTGCATCACGCCCCAAGGGTAAGCCTCAGCCAACTCCCTAGCTGCCCTAGCTCGATTCTCAACCACATTGCACCAGCCTGTGATACCTGGCAAACGGTGTCTACCTGGGAGCATGCTTTTCTCTGGTTTAGGCTTGTCGGCTCTGGGCCTCGTTTCATGAAAGCCGTGGTGCTTGTAGAGTTCAGGGTCGCGGAGGTGGGGGGTCGGGTCCGTTTTCAGCAGTTATGGCAGTTATATCCAGCACTGGCTGCAGTCTGCCTTAGACCTGACATATTGTGGGAGGAACCTCCTACATGGTTCAAGGTATCAATGCTACAGCCGTATTGAACAAGCACCACCTCCTCGCTCAGCCCAGCTTCGCACATATTACATATCATGTATTATAATACACTACAATGCATGATATATGATAGCTATAATGTGTCATACATTATCTATGAGGCTATCGTTTTTCGGATCAATTGCGGGATTCACTGCTTGAGGCTTCGGGGTGCAAGGAGGAAGTCAGGAATCGGCCCCAGGGTTCGTGGCCCAGTCTGTACTTGCAGTATGTAGAAAAAGAAACCATGCCAATCAGTCTGTTGGGTGCCCAAGCTGCTTGTCGTTCAGGGCGGCCACACCTGTGAAATGCGCAGACTTCGTGGCCATGTCGCCCAATGCTTGCATACAAGAAACTAGAGAGATAGTTCAGGAAGTGACGCCCCGAAACGGTCTTAGGCTTCGCGACTATTTCAGCATCAGGGCTACGGCCTAGAAAAAGCCAACCTTAACTGAGATGCCCTCGCTCTAATGTTGGCATTGGGGGTGGGGGTCACTGCGCTCTCCAGAGACGAGCTGAAGCTCCGGCACAACAGTACGCATGTCCAGCATAGGAGCGGACATGACACCGATCTATCTGCAGATCTATGCGTCTGTCTCTATGTCTGTCTGCCTATCTATCCATCTAGTCATCTATCTATTTACCCATCTACTGGTCTATCCATAAACGAACAGATATCTACTTGTCAAGACATGTATATCTAAAGCTAGATCACATATAAATGTCGTGCTCTGCACATGCTTCTCCAGACCCTACCCTAAATCCCCAAACTCGAAGGCCGCAAGCCGTAAAATGGAAGAAGAAACCTGAACCTCTAAAACCCTCAAACCGTAAAGCTCGAAAACCCTGATTCCGACAACTCTAAAACCCTGAAACCTCAAACTCTGAAACCCTAAAAGTCTGAAACACTAAAAGCCCCTAAATCCTGAGCAGGTTGGGCCAGGGCCTGGGAGTTCCTTGCCCTCCAAAAGCTCCAAAGAGGCTCCGCCGCCAGTGCTGCAGTGGGTGACCTGCTCAGGGGCTTCTTGTCGGGCTTAGTCTTCTTTTCAGTTCAGAGGAGGTTCAAGGATTTAGGCCTGTGAGGCTGTATGTAGATCTCAGGGGTTTTGAGTTTTCAGGGTTTACGGCTTCGGGGTTCTGGGGCTTGCGGGGTTTAGGGGATGTGCCGCTTTAGAGCTTGGGCGTTCTGTTCAGTCACGACCTTCACGTTCGGCTGTTGTGTTGCGGAGGTGGGCAAAATTCGACACAATCAACCCTAGCGTTCCTTGCAAGCTTAGAAGTCTGCATGATGCTTGTGTGTTGAGCTAACTCAGTGAGCTAGATCATCGGGAGCCCGCATATAAGATTCCAGACTAATTCAAATCTTATTGTTATCCGAAATGCGTGAAGGCAAAACACACCTGCCCAAAACCTATTCTTTCCCGGCCTTGTCCTCGGTTCCGTACTTCTTGCAAGCCGTGGCAGTGTCGCCACCGCCAATGACCTCGGTATGCGAAAAATTGCAGTTTGGGTTTAGGGCTGAGGGTTACTACTCTTGCTTTCGGGATTTACGGCGAGAGCTACATGATGCAGCGCTGTCAGGTTTCAAACAGTCTCAGCAGTCCTTTCGGGCGGACATATCTGCAGGCAGTGAAATATTCTCAGTTTGCCACTCTTGCATGCGAAGCGCAACTTCACCGGTGAACGTGCGCCACAGGGTTTTAAAAGCATGACTGCTCTCGGATTGTTAAACAATTTCAGATCTTGCCAGCCATTGCGAACCCTTCTGTGCTCAAGGGCTCTTCAACTCTGAATCCTGCTCTGCACTAAACTTGCCCCGAAAGCAACTTCGAAGGGACTTGCTTCAGGACAACGGCGGCTTCTGGTTCAGACCGCAAGGAGACACTACGCAAACGGCACGCACCTGCAGAAGAAGGAGCTTGTGTAAGAACTCATGAACCCTCCGACAACTGAACTCCCACCAAATCTCACCCACAAGCACTCGAAGAGATCCGGCAAACTGTCAGGTGGGCGGCAGTGATCACACCTGCTCCGGTAGCCGCCACCACAGCATCCATAAGGCTCTTGGTGCCTGGGCATGCCCTCCCCTTCTGCGTCGCTTGTCTTGGTCTTTCTTTATCTGTATCTGTAGAGCTTACGTCCAGCAGAAGGCCCAGCACCGTTCCACAAAATAACGGTCGCAACTGTAAGCTTTGGGCACAGCCAAAGGAGTAGAAGGGGTGACAGCAAGTGGCATAACACGCAGCTGCAGCTGTAGTTACGACAGACAGGCAGACAAACAGACACAACAACTGCGACGAACGAGGCAAACACGGAGGCACACACACACAGATGTGCACGCCGTGCTGTCAATCACTATCAGGCTTGCGTTTCGGGCTGTCGAAGGCTTGAGCTACGAGCGCACATGCGAGGGTCAAGGTCGAAATTTACATGTCGGGTGATCAGCAGCTGCTAAACGAATTACGACATCCTAAGACAGGGCACTTCTCTAAAAGGGCCTCGGGTGGCTCTGGGCTACTTGGCTACTGCAATAATCCGGTCATAACACGACAGATCATATGAAGGATTATGAAGTTTTCTTTACTTGAGTATCAACTTGCATCAGAGCCCCGAGACTTCTTTGGAGGGGGTGGGGGGCATCAAGCCCATAACATGTCGCTTGCAGGGGCCATGAAGCCGAGAGCCACCACTCACGTCATCCGTATGTCACCGGAAAAAACGATCCAAACCCGCTTTGAGTGCGACGGATAGCTTCGCGTTGAATGTGCTAAAGTTCTGGTGCCGGCATGCCAATACAATTGCCCGGACAGTTCCTCCTTGGCAACCACCTTCTAGAAATCCATGAGTGTCATCTTTGTACTGCGGTGCCACGTTGGCAAGACTCCCACGATGTGGGGTGCTCTGGCCAAGGATGCTAAACTCTGATGTTGTGCCTTCGTACACTGCGCAGCAGAGACTCACAGACGTAAGGGCAGTGTGGTTCTCCCAGTCAGGCGCGGCACTGACAAGCAAACCAGAGACAAAGCAAACCTTGTTGACATCGTCCCGGGCTTAGTGTTGAGCATGCGTTCGGGGATCTAGGAATCTATAGGGCTATAGGGGTCTCGGGTGGATGACGTGTGACGAGGTCAGGCTCATACTGCCGGGCCATCGTTGCTGACTGCTCGAATAGGAACTTTCAGGTCGTGGTGCCGATCTCGAACTTCGACATCTCGAAGACGCCCATCGGACCGTTCCAGATGATGGTCTTGGACTCCGCCACAGCCTCGGAGTTCGCGGCTTGGGATCGAGTTTGCGCAGACCACACCAAAACAGAGCTTCGTCCGACCCTCCTGTTCTCGACAACAGAAGCATGCCGTGCCATTCTGGCATCAGTCCACAGAGCCTATGGACCTATAGTGTGGCTCTATGTGGGGATCCACAAGTCATTGTGCGAATCCTGCTGTTGGCACTCGGGCAGACTCGTGGTCCAGCAACCATGTTATGGCATGAAAGCAACAACAAAAGCGAACATGGCTGTGAGACTGGACTGGGTAACTTCAGGTTAATTTAGGACACAGAAACATTGCTTGCAGATATATGACAAGGGCACGTACGGCATGACCAAACCGTTCACGCGCTCTATGGACTCTTCTCCCTGACGTTTCGTAGACCAACTCGCTCAAAACGCACACGATGAGATTTACGGTTCAATACACGGAGTACACGGCTTCGGGTTTGGAGTATATCGGATATAATGAGATGTAGATTGGTTTTAGCCTTTGGGGGGGCGCAAACTTGGATTCCAAAATTTCCTGAATTCGCCACCTCCAAACCAGAGATGACCCAACTGCCAACTTCGAGCTTTCCTCGCGTAACCCAAAGGTGGAACCTTCCACAACTGTGAACCTGTTTGGCAACCGCCCCCCACCCCTAATAGCTTTCTTCGGCTCCCCGAAATCCTAGTTAGCTCCTTGAATGCCCAAACGCGACATACACCCCAAACCCTAAACCGTAATCGCTGCAATCTGTGACGTCTTGGATTCTTACGGCTGGCCTTGGCATTCAGCTCGATCGACTTGGGGCCGCAATCCAAGCCCATGAAGCCTTGGTTCAGGTTTGAGGATGTTGGGGCCCTACTGTTGAGGATTCAGGAATAAAGCGGGATTTCGGCTTCCGGCCTTTTGCTGCGGGCTTGGGGGGGCTCGGGTGTTCATGAATTTTCCCGTCGTGGCAAAGAATCGAGGGCTGGCTTTCAGAACTCTTCGCGTGCTCTGGTCTTGAGCCTGGGGCTGGGGTTGAGGTGCCGGCACATGATGCCCACCCAGCTGAGTCTGAATCACAATGGAGTCGGCGCCACTAAATCCTAAACGGGCATCCGGTGCCCTTCGAACTGTCGAATGGCTGCTCCATGCGAACGGCGGAACTTGGTTTGATGTGCTCGTACTGTAGGCCCAGCGCGGAGCAATTAGAAGACGCCACAATCCGTGATCTCCCTCGAGGTCCGAAATGTACTGGCCAACCTCCTGTGCATTCACTAGTCTCGCATAGGCTTGCTCTTCAAGCCAGAAGCCTTCAACAGCGTGAAAGCCTGAGACCTTGATGGAGAATGCCGCGTACAAAGCTCGCGAGACCCTACCCCCGGAGAGCAAAAGCCGGCACAAAGGTACCTGCCGCCACAACAATTCCCAAGCTAAGCGCACCACAACCCCGGACCCAGAATCCATAAGCCTTTTCGATGGCGAACCGAAGATTGACTTTGGCTTAGGAGCCGTCTGGGATGCCAGCATCCTTGGTCACACCTTGTCGTTCGAGCAGATGGATGGGAGCTAGCAGCTTCGGGATGGGTGTTCCGCACTGCACCATCTAGTTCTAAGCCCAAGTTCCTGACCGCCCATATAATCAGGTTTAGCCCCCCCCCCTCCTCATTCTTCGCCAGCAATTCTCTCGAATCTCTTGAATGCTGCTTGCACGACCCCGGCATGTTGCCAACCTCTGACTCACTGCCTGCTCGGAGCACCACAAGTCTTAGTCTTAGGATCGAAGGCCGACAACTTTCGAGAAAAGCCCTAAACCCTCGTAAATTCTTGTTAAACCCTACGCCCTAAGCCCGAAACACAAGCTCTTGGAGTCTTTCTTCGCTTCTTGCGCAACACCCGTTCCGGCCTTCCTTGATCTCGCCATCCTCACCGAATTTCGAGGAGCAGGTGAAATCGACAGGGAGGATGATCTCCACGCCTCCAAAATGCTCTACGAATGGACGGAGATCCCCAAAACAAGAGGAAAGATCTGAGCATCAGGACCCAAGCCTCCCTGCATGGAAGCTATACCATGCAGAAAGAGCAGGGAGCCTCTGAAGGGTCAGGTTTTGGTGATAACTGCCTGCCCTCGGCAACCCGTCCGAATCAGAGCACGGAGCCTTGCCAGAAAAGCTGCTCCCATAGGCTCAGAAGCCTCTTTGAGTCCCCTGAACCTCCGAAGCCTGGAGCCCTAAACCTCAGATAAACCTTACAGTAGAAGCCCAAAAGTTGGAAACCCAATAGCCTCAATTCTTAAGTATAGGGAATCCCAGCACCATTTGGCCTTAATCCGGTTTACAACTTATTTATGGGGTTTACCGTAGCTCAGCCAGGGCACCAAGCTTCTCCGCCTTGGCCAGGATCTCGGGAACGATCTTGGCACCTGGAGTTGTTGGGAATGCACGGGTTTGGTGCTTCAAAAACCTCTTCGGGTCAGGAATTGAAATCCCCCCTCCCTTAACCATGGGGGGGGTTCAAATTGTAAATTACAATTTGGACCCCCTTGAAGTCACAACGCCTGATATTGTAAAAAACAACGTCTGGGCAGGCACAACGATATTGAAAAATCGTAGCTTCCGTGCGTTCCTCCGCACTATCGCAATAGTGGCGTGACTCTGCTTCTCGCTTGTTTGCGTTTAAGATCAAACTCGGACCGGGGAGCATAAGGACTAACGGAAGAGGCAAAGCCCCAAAGCCAGAAACCTACAACACTCAAACTCCGATATCTTGAACCCCCATTCCCAAACCCTAACAAAGCCAGAAACACTGAACGCAGAAGCCCGAACCCAGAAACCCCGAACAGAAACTCTCCAGCGCGAAACTTTAAACCCAGAAACCCTGCGGCCTCGAACCCGAAACCAGAAACCGCAGACCCACCCACACACCCCGATTTGAGAAAGCCTAATTCCAGAAACTCGGAACCCGGAAATTTGAAACCCAGAAACCGCAAGCCATGAGAAACTCCGAACCCAGAGATTCCATATATATATATATATATATATATATATGTATGCCAATCCCTGAAAGAAAACCGGAACTCAGAGCCCCGAAATCTATCAACCCTGAAACCCTAACGCCGCTTAAACCCTGGGACCGAAGTTCATCATTTTTTTTTGTGAGCTTTTGTGGATGAACCTTGGAGGACCGTAGCCCTGAAACCCTGAACCCTGAACCCCTGCACCCAAAACTCCCAAATCCGGAAAGCCAGACACCAGAAACCTTGGACCCTAGACCCCTAAAGCCAAACCCTGAGACCCCAAAATCCGGAAAGCCAGACACCACAAACCTTGAACCCTAACCCCCCAAACTCCAAACCCAAAAATCCGGAAAGCCAGACACCAGAAACCTTGAACCTTAAACCCCTAAGCCCGCAAACCCCAAATCCGGAAAGCCAGACACCAGAAACCTGGAACCCTGAACCCCTAAACCCTGGAAACCCCAAAATCCGGAAAACCAGACACCAGAAACCTTCAACCCTAAACCCCTAAACCCGTTTTGAAGTTGTGTCGGGAGGGACGCCGTTCGCAGGAGTGCTTTCTCTGTTACCCAGGGGAGGGGAAATGGTACCAGCCGGCTGCTCATCTTCTTCTGGGGAGACGCGGATGCACAGCTCTGTTTCTTTTTAACACGCACACGGGTCGGTTCGGACACGTCGTCGTCGAACAGGTGTGTCCTGTGCACATCATGCATACAGAAACTGCTTCCGCAAGACTTGCCGTAGCATGTCGGCCTCATCTGCGACAGCATCGGTGTTCCGGACTGATAGATACCTGCCCCCCACACACACAGACGCAGGGATCCAGTCAATCAGGGTTCGTCTCGTCACGACATGACTAACAACATGGTAAATGCAGCTTGCAATGCTTGACGAGTAAGACACATGAGCACAAAACCCCCTTGGTACCATTTCCCCGGGGGCCTGTCAAGCTCCTGGTTTCGGCGAGAGTGGGGGGCAGGTATCTATCAGTCCGGAACACCGATGCTGTCGCAGATGAGGCCGACATGCTACGGCAAGTCTTGCGGAAGCAGTTTCTGTATGCATGATGTGCACAGGACACACCTGTTCGACGACGACGTGTCCGAACCGACCCGTGTGCGTGTTAAAAAGAAACAGAGCTGTGCATCCGCGTCTCCCCAGAAGAAGATGAGCAGCCGGCTGGTACCATTTCCCCTCCCCTGGGTAACAGAGAAAGCACTCCTGCGAACGGCGTCCCTCCCGACACAACTTCAAAACGGGTTTAGGGGTTTAGGGTTGAAGGTTTCTGGTGTCTGGTTTTCCGGATTTTGGGGTTTCCAGGGTTTAGGGGTTCAGGGTTCCAGGTTTCTGGTGTCTGGCTTTCCGGATTTGGGGTTTGCGGGCTTAGGGGTTTAAGGTTCAAGGTTTCTGGTGTCTGGCTTTCCGGATTTTTGGGTTTGGAGTTTGGGGGGTTAGGGTTCAAGGTTTGTGGTGTCTGGCTTTCCGGATTTTGGGGTCTCAGGGTTTGGCTTTAGGGGTCTAGGGTCCAAGGTTTCTGGTGTCTGGCTTTCCGGATTTGGGAGTTTTGAGTGCAGGGGTTCAGGGTTCAGGGTTTCAGGGCTACGGTCCTCCAAGGTTCATCCACAAAAAAAAAAAAAAAAAAATGATGAACTTCGGTCCCAGGGTTTAAGCGGCGTTAGGGTTTCAGGGTTGATAGATTTCGGGGCTCTGAGTTCCGGTTTTCTTTCAGGGATTGGCATACATATATATATATATATATATATGGAATCTCTGGGTTCGGAGTTTCTCATGGCTTGCGGTTTCTGGGTTTCAAATTTCCGGGTTCCGAGTTTCTGGAATTAGGCTTTCTCAAATCGGGGTGTGTGGGTGGGTCTGCGGTTTCTGGTTTCGGGTTTGAGGCCGCAGGGTTTCTGGGTTTAAAGTTTCGCGCTGGAGAGTTTCTGTTCGGGGTTTCTGGGTTCGGGCTTCTGCGTTCAGTGTTTCTGGCTTTGTTAGGGTTTGGGAATGGGGGTTCAAGATATCGGAGTTTGAGTGTTGTAGGTTTCTGGCTTTGGGGCTTTGCCTCTTCCGTTAGTCCTTATGCTTCCCGGTCCGAGTTTGATCTTAAACGCCAAACTGACAGTCGCTCCCTCTCTTTCGCTCTCTCTGTCTCTCCCTCCCCCGACTGTTCTGAAAGCTCCCCCGACCCCCCCCCTGCCAACTGCCGCATGTCAGCAGCACCCCCCCCCCCCCAACTACTCATGTCAGCAAACGCAATATTGTAATATATATATATATATATATATATATATATATTGTAAAATGGGGGGGTGCCCCCACCCCTATTTTACAATATTAAGGGCGGGGGGATGAATTGAATCAGGGCTGGGCGAGATGATGAAAGCCCCTCCCATCCCCTCGTGTGCATTCGAGGGATACTGGCCTATGGACGGCTCACTTGTCTAAAACATGTCGGTTCTCAGGCCTTCCTCATCGTAAAGCGAAGTTCCAATCGCCATGCTGTCCTTGATCTTCAGGAAGGTGTAGGCCATGCCACCGCCAATGATCATCTTGTTCACCTCTTGTGGTGCAGTCAGAGGTGTGCATGTCGGAGCGAATGGGGTGTGAGATGGGTCCTTCCGAAAAGAATGAAGCTGATCCAAAGATACTCCCATATTCCGTCTCGCAGTCGGCCTTCAACCCTTCGGACTTACACAGGCGTCAGCCTGTTAGATTCAGCCTGGCAGGTGCCACCACGAAACCTTGTCCAACATGTTCATGATGAGCTGGATCTTGTCGCTGACCTTTGTGAATTGGGGCCGGGGGGCCTGCAACCGGAACCACTAGGCGATGCTGGGGCCCATCTGAAGTCTCCGTTGTAGTTCCTTGTGTGGGTTGCCTTTCGGGATCCTGAACATAAAATTGGTTAAGCCAAAAAGGAACCACAGTGGAGACTAGGGCTAGGCCTCGGGCCTCGGCCTTCAAGGCTGCACGAGGGTGGACTTCAACGGAGTCGGGTCCACATTTCTGGAACGGGACATCCATTGGAAGTGACAGTGGCTTTTTGCAGCCGCGTTCTGAGTTCCACCCTCCTGTTGCCGGAGTCTGTATGAACGGCGAGTTTGTTGTAGGTTTGACTTGCACCGAGTGTGGATTATGTTGCAATAAACGAGGGCGTCGAGTTCCATAGACACTACAACAGCCACCAATTCGTGGGTATCGTGGGATGTACTAGCGCACTGAGTACACGAACACGCACCTGCAAGAAACCTGAAGCTACAAAAGGTACTGCAGCGACTACTGCAAAGACAAAACATTAGTTATACAGTCTGGATACTAGAAGGCGTCGCTCAGTACAGTAGTAGTCGTCGTAATAATAATCATAGTAGGCGCTGTGGTCCTCGTAGTGGTGGAAACAGTAATCGCACCAGCTCGAAACTTCCCGATCCGATGGCCTAAGCTCCGCACCTTCGCCCCACCAAGGATGGCCAGCACAGGCTTTGCCGGGTTGTCCAACACCTTGGCGAATGCCTCGAGCTCCTTGTCAGAGGCATGCCATTCCGAGCAAGATGCAGCAAATTACAAGAAGAAAGTATGGCCTACAAGCGAACAAGGGGCTGGTTTGGGCTTTTCGGGAATCGTGGTGGTTGCGGCAGTGGTGGTGGTAGTGTGCTGCTGCTGCTGCTGCTGGTGGATGTTGCAGTAGCACTACGAGTGCCAGTGCTAACAATGCATCAACAGCTGCAGCAGTTCAGCAGGAGTATTTGGTAGTCGTCGTAGTAGTGGTAGTGGTAGTAGTAGTAGTAGTAGTAGTAGTAGCAGTAGCAGTAGGAGTAGGACTAGGAGTAGGAGTAGGAGTAGGAGTAGTAGTAGTAGTAGTAGTAGTAGTAGTAGTAGTAGTAGTAGTAGTAGTAGTAGTAGTAGTAGTAGTAGTGGTAGTAGTAGTAGTAGTAGTAGTAGTAGTAGTAGTAGTAGTAGTAGTAGTAGTAGTAGTAGTGGTAGTAGGTAGTAGGCGGTAGGCAGTAGGTAGTAGGTAGTAGGTAGTAGGTAGTAGGAGTAGTAGTAGTAGCAGCAGCAGTAGTAGTAGAAGTAGTAGTAGTAGTAGTAGTAGTAGTAGTAGTAGTAGTAGTAGTAGTAGTAGTAGTAGTAGTAGTCGTAGTCGTAGTAGTAGTAGTAGTAGTAGTAGTAGTAGTAGTAGTAGTAGTAGTAGTAGTAGTAGTAGTAGTAGTAGTAGTAGTCGTGGGCTATGGACCGGGCAGGTTTGGCCGCATCCGATTCGCCATGAACGGCAAGAGGACTTGCCGCAGCATTACTTAGAGCAGGAATGATAACATTGACAAAGACTCTCGACCAGAGCACTTGCTACGCATTTATCAGCGTCAGTAAGGGGTCGAGGCAATTAGATTCACTTTCTGCGTCGGCGCCCGACGACAGCAACAGCAGCAGCAAGAATAGCAGCAGCGCTCATCAAACCCACCACCACCACCACCACCACCACCACCACCACCACCACCACCACCACCACCACCACCACCACCACCACCACCACCACCACCACCACCACCACCACCACCACCACCACCACCACCACCACCACCACCACCACCACCACCACCACCACCACCACCACCACCACCACCACCACCACCACCACCACCACCACCACCACCACCACCACCACCACCACCACCACCACCACCACCACCACCACCACCACCACCACCACCACCACCACCACCACCACCACCACCACCACCACCACCACCACCAACAGTAACAGCAACAGCAAACACAGTATTCCAAGTAGCTGTGGTAGCCATACAGAACCGAAACAAGTCCCACGATTGCTGCAGTCATGTCAGCAGTTGCGTCAGGGCGGAGAGGGGAGTCTGCAAGGTTCCTGAACACAGATACAACTTTAGAGATCCCTGAAACCGAAGCTGCTCGCTCTCCTTGCCCATGAGATCGCCCGCGCACTTCACGTCGAAACCCTCTCCCACCATGGAGCTGTGAGCACGGTGCGCCGTTCCGAAGGCATCGTTGCAGTAGATGTCTGCCAGTTTCCTGCCGGTGGGATGTCATGAAACTGGACGAACAGGCAGAATAGTCATGGTAGCCACAGTGATCGCAATACTTATTTGCACAAGTAGTAACAATGCTTTTACTCCAACCATGGCATCAAGAGAGTAGCTGGAAAATCAGTTGCCGCAGCTTTTGCATCCGGCTTTTGCACTGTTGTCGCATGAGCCATGGGTTTGGGCACATACGCAGACTACCGCTGCTCGCTGAGGTTCCTGTATGCTTCTATCATATTCTATCACCTCAGCCCCTTGTCGTCGAAGGGGCTGGCGAAGCCAAGAAATCGGCGAGATCACGGCCGACAACTCCACTCTGGCAGTTTTGGGGTGTGATTTTTCGCACGCTAAGTTTCAAACCGAAGTATGGCAAGACACGGGACCAGGCAAAATGCCGTGAGCTCAAGATGTAGGAAGATCGAACCCCAACATCCTAGACACCAGCTAAAGCTGTTTTCAGAGTCTCTGGCACTTCTCCTTTTTCGATGTTCCGAAATGACACGAGTTGGAGTCCGAAGCGCAGAACGCACACACTGCCATTTAGAGCAAGATTCTGCATCCCCCAGCTCTTAAGCACGAAACTAAAGCTGCAGGTCCTGATGGATGCGCGGAAGGCCGTGACCTTGTCCTTCTCGGCCTTGATCTTGTTGCCCTGGAGGCAAGCTGGATCCAAGCAAGGCTGACCCGCTGCCTACTCAAAAGAGTTTAGGTTGTAAGGCTTAGCATATTATATGGCTTCCAGGTGAAGGAAACCCCTGTAACCCTACGCAGAGGTCTGGGCACTTCATTTGGGCCAGGTGATACAGGGCACGGTATCTTGAGGTGAGGCTGTGCAGATGTCTTCTCAACTTACAAGGCACTCCACAACCCTTCCATCAGAAACACCTGTACCCATACTAGTCATGCGCATATAGCAGCATCACTGCTACTGTTTTCCGGTTTGCACGTAGACGACGACCTCGCCCACCTCAACAACAGTTAGTCTGGTCACCATGGCGATGATGATGACACTCATTCTGGTGATGATTATGATGATGATGACGATGACGATGGTGATGGTGACGATGAAGAAGATGATGATAATGATTATGAATGATGATGACAACGAAGGTACTGCGGAGCTCGACTGCGATGCTCATCATGATAACGACGAAGAGGCTGACCACCATGGCGCCGATGAATAGCGACGATGAGCGGCGATGACGAGGAGACGGTGATGCAGTGATAGTGGCCAATGAGCAACACGACGAGGATGACGATGCTGGGTGGTCTGCGTTCTGAACAGAACTGCCTCCGGGTCGACTCCCTTACCCTCCTCTTCGACGTGGAAGCGCAGGTTCCTCGGTGAATGGGCCGAGGCTGCAGCGTGGAACTAAGTCGTGCGAGGATGTTTGGAGACTTGAAGGGATCCGGCATTGTCAGGCTTCTCGCTACTCAGCAGTAGAGTAGCACTCACTATTACTATTATTTTTAGTATTCGCAGTAGAGGTGGAAGTAGGTGAACTAGTTCTGCTAGCACAAGAAGTAGGAGCAGTATCAGGAGGAGGAGGAGGAGGAGGAGGAGGAGGAGGAGGAGGAGGAGCAGGAGGAGGAGGAGGAGGAGGAGGAGGAGGAGGAGGAGGAGGAGGAGGAGGAGGAGGAGGAGTAGGAGTGGGAGTAAGAGGAGTGCGAGTCGGAATAGAAGTCGTCGCCGCCGCCGTTGTCGTCGTCGCAGGCTGGCAGATAACAGTAGGTTATGAGAGCACAGTTTGTTTTAGCTATGAGGAGACTGGCACGAATGTAGTATTGCAGCTAGGTCTAGCGACAATCCTTCCAGCTCATCACCCTGAAGCCCTGAATCGGGGTATATGGGAGTCATAACTTCACAATAAGGAACCCTAAAAACTAATATTCAGACTTGCATAGCAGAGTGGCTCCAGGAGGATCACGCTGCCGGCCGCGGGGTCTGCGCAGGTGGCCTCTACCTCCGGCCTAGACTTGCACAGCGGCGTGGGGCTTTTGGGATGCTTGTAAGGCAGGGTCGTACAACTCTTGTTAGAAACAGATGAAGCTCGCCAGTTCACCTACAAATCTGAAAGGAGTTGTTGCTTCGGAGTAGCAGGGGTGAGTTGAGCGTGGCATCTGAAACTCTTGTCACCCTCCCCAATGTACTCAGTTTGAGCAATACTGAACCAAGTCCTACCACCATGATCCTTTAAAAGGACAGGTCCCTAAGCCTCCTAAACGTACAGAGTTGCCTGACTCAGCATGCTTAATGCCTTGATCAAACCCTCCAACACCGCAACCCATACCCCACGGGGCTTTGAAGCATGTCGCTGCACTTCTTCGGAGGTCACATTGAGCTAGTCTGAGCTAGTGGTCTCCTATGGGTCCGGCATCTTCTGAATCTGTCTCGCCTGATCTCGCCTGCGTTCTTTGTCTCTCTTGTATTGGCTGTCTGTGGTCCGTCTCTAGCTCAGTCGTTCGTGTGCTCGCTTGCGTCCGTGTGCAACCGTGGAGACACTTGCTTTTGCCTGTTCTGCAGCCTGTTGCATGTGCTACGTGTACCCTCGTTGGAGGAACCTAGCCAGGCAAAGAGAGTTAGCGTCATGGGCATTCGACGTCCTGCCAAACAGTGTCCCCGTGGGCTTTGCACTCATTTACGATGTCTGTTCTTGTTTCGGGACTCGGGCTTCGGTGGCACTTTCTTTTGGAAGGGTTGGGTTTGGCATCAAACGATTTGCCACAAGAGCTTTCCATTTAGTGCCGAAGGGTTGCCCGTCCTTCGCTTAGGGCTTAGGGGTCCGGGACGGGACTGTGACGCAATCAGGTTGGAGGAAAAAGGATGAACCTAGACGTCTACCTTCATGACTTCATGTGGGCCGTGCCTTCAACTTCTGGGTTGAGGTATCTTGGTTTTTTTTGGCGACTTGTTGGGCCTGTAACTCAAGGGCACCAACACGCATAAGGAGAATCTCGGCCCCCACTGTGCATTAGCATAGTTTGACATCACCATTTGCACCGCCTGCCTGCCATAGTTTGAGAGGGACTGGGCACGAAACATACACAAGCAAAACAAGCAACTCCTCCAGAAGATCTGCCAAGAACGAGACACTTCGAATTTGCAAGCGCAAGCACAAACAAACCGTTGCAACAGGATCCCTCCTCACCGCCTCAGCCCAGTGCTCGAATTCCCTTCGCAGAGAGCGAAACTTCAAGAATGGGCGTGCTGCTCTTCGCAGGCATTGATTCAGCGCTGCAACGGAGCGTTGGTTAAGCGGTCTGTCTCAACTTCCCAAGACCCTGGCCCTAACCCCCAGTCCCTGAACCCTTAAACCGTCTCCTGAGCTGCCGGCCCCACGCAGTCGGTGCAGAACGTGACCTGAGTGGAAAGCGCCCACAAGTCGAGACATGAAGTCCTGCGCCAACATGCGGATTTCTGGAAACTTCTGGTTACCTTCTCGGTGTCTGTGAACCAATCCATTCCCCTATCTAGGTGGTCCACATCAGCCATTGCTTGAGAATGTCCGGAGTGCAAACCGTCAACCCCAGTATTCAGCGAACTCGGTTTGGGTTTCTTCAATGCTAAGCCATTCAAGGCTGTACCCAGGATTCTCTCGGTCTTGAGAAGCCTCGCTGTTGGACGGCAGAGTTGGCACTGGCAGTACTAGTAAAGGGGTCTCACGGCCCAAATCGCCTGCGCAGGGCAGGAATATTGTAGGCCCCAGCACCCGCCATGGGTGCGTTTGCCGGCTACGGGCAAGCAATGCATAGCGGCAAGTGTGCCATGCACAAGCTGGGCATTCAGGTTTTGCATTCACCCGACATGATGGCGATCATGGACGCAAAGGACACACTGTGTAAGGTGACTTTGTTGAGCATTCGTTCGGAGGACATGCTCGCAGACCACACAGCAGATGAGTTTGCAACTGGCTTCAAGAAGAGGCCGGCTTTTCAGCTGCGCGGCATCAAGCAGAACAGAGGCTCGTCATGCGAGGGAGAATGGATCACCAAGCGGCAACGTAGCAGCTCATGCCCTTCACCTGTTGCGATGGTGTTTACGGGTTCGAAGGACATGCTGTGCAGAGTGGCCATATTGAACATGGGCTGGGAGGACTCGCTCGCACCACTCACCATAAAGGAGTCTGCGACTGGCTTCAAGAAGTCGCTGGCTTTCAGGCCGCACGGCATCAAGCAGAGCAGAGGCTCGTCAGGCGAGGGCGTTTGCACCACCAAGCGGCAACCTGGCAGCTCATGCACTTCACCCGATGTGATGGTGTTTATGGGCTCAAAGGACATGCTGCGCAAGGTGGCCATGTTGAACATATGTGTGGAGATGGTTTGGAGGACAATGCTCGCACACTTCACCGTGATGGCTGCCATCAAGAAGACGCCGGCTTTTCAGCTGAGAGGCATCAAGCAGAGCAGAGGCTCGTCAGGAATTTGCGGCTGGCTGCATGAAGACGTCGGCTTTCCAGCAGTGCGCCATCAAGCAGAACAGAGGCTCGTCAGGCCTTCGATCTAATGACGCTGACTCCGCTATCCTGGCTTAGCAGTTCCTGATCATGTAAGTGAGTGATGCTGGAGCGCTTTAGATTTGCGTGTGGAGGTCCTATGGCCTTCATGCTATGGTTGAGTTTGATGTCCCGATATCACCTCGATGAAGGTGTTAGACATCCTGGGTATTGTAACCGTGTAGGAATGGCCTCAGCTGATACCCATGAGGAAGATCCTGCACGTCTTGGGTCCGATATGTGGATCGTACGTTGTCTGATGCTTTGATCGCCGTTTACGGAATACAAAGCATCCTTTGTTTGCCGTGCATTCTCAGGCATTCTTCCATGCGCCATCTTTGATTTTGTTGTGGGGTTGGGACAGCTTTTCCGTTTGCTGGCTACATCCCACCCCTGTCCGGTGAGCGCATACTATGTCAATAGATTTCTGCGCCACCCCACTTTCAATTAAATGCAGTTTGAATTCACCTTGCTAGGCGAGGGTCGTTTACCGACTCAACCGCAGAGAATGAAATGAAATGAAAGGGGTCTCTCAGGGTTCAGTTTCTCAAGGGTCCTCTATTTCGCTGAAAGCTTACGCAAGCAACATCGAAAATCCGAATATCCAAAACCCCTCGACCCAATCCTGGGTCAGCCACTGGCTTGCCCAGCTTCTCCTCCAGGATCTTGGCCACTGGCGCCAAGGAGTACTTCGAGACGACCTTATTTACCGGCTTTCGGGTTTTGCCTTCTTAAAGTTGTGGGTCAGAGCCTCCAGACTTCAACCTCGAAGCTCACACCACTCAGCCCTCTACGGAGCCATCGGGTCGTCCAAGGTGGGAGGCCAGGACGACAGACTTGGCACCCTTCTCCAGCACCTGCATGGGCTTTCCAGGGTGGAGATCTGCATGTGCGGGTGAAGGGCCCGTGATGGCACGTGGGTACCTGACGTGAAACGTCTGCAGGCTGGGTCCTGCGCCCTTGCAAACTATGCGAAAAATTCACATCGACCTCCTTCGCTGCTGCGCTGGCGAGCCTTCTTGATAGTGGGCAGGGCACCATCAATGCGCTGAGTGTTGGTGATCTTGGTAGGGTCGGCCTTGTCCTGTGGACATGTCTTTGGATATAGTACAGTATGATAAAGTATCCGAGCATTGCTTGGATCAGCAGACTCCACAACCGATGGAGAGTGCTTGATGACATCCACCCCAAGTAGTTCCAGCGTTAATCTCACGAGATTGCAAACCCTTTTTGACTTAGGATGTCCGGTATCGTCGTTCTGCCTTCCCGTAGCTTGTTGCGGTGGAAACAAGGCTCCATCTTTGTGAAGCACTTTGCTGCCTCTGCCTGGCTAGATTTTAGGCTCCGTGTTCTTGTTACATTTCGCAATTGGGTCTGACAACACACACCTCAACGGAAAGCGTGGGCTTGGCTAGGCGACACGGTCAGTACTATGCAGAGCATGAGCACTTTTGCTGATGTCTTAAGGAAGAGATCCGGGGCTGCATGGTTGCCGGAGCCCAGCAGTCCTGTGGCACGTTGAAGTCCACCCTCATGAAGACTCGCTTTCCAGCGACATCCACATCGTTGATGCTGAGCTTGGCCGGCATTGTGAGTGAGCGAAGAAGGACGGCAACGACACAGGCGCCTTTGAGCCAAAGTGCTGCTGTGATAAGAGCTTCTCTCCATGCAGCTGGATGTGGGATTGGCGCGGAGTTCGCCGACAAGTCCCGTGTCTATGAGGCTGAACTCAATTCCGCGGCGGCTTCGCTGCAACAAGACAACAGAGAATCGTAAAACGAAGGAAGACTGCCGCTGCTTGTGGGAAACTCCAATGTCCAGAACTCAGTGTTTTTCGGAAAGGAAGGGCAAGGGCTGCCGCCAGTTGTAGGACATCTACGGCTCTAGCAAGAAGGCTACGCCGCAATGTCCTGACTTCTACGCTACACTGGCACTCCATTGCCGACAGTGAACTGCTCTCAATCCAAACGGCATGAACAGCGACAAAGAGCAAAGGTCGTTGTGGATAGGGCAAATGCTCCCGGACCTGGACGAAGGTCAACCCCGGATCGGACATAACAGGAGCCTAAGCCACGAAGGAACTCTGCATACCCCAAGGGCATGGTTCCATGATGATCATTGTCACATTGTCATGTCAGCTAGGGTCTAGAGTCCACAAGCACATGACTTTCTCGCAGCGGATTGCTGGATGGTAGACTGTGCGTCCGCTGACCGCGGGCAAGAATCGGTAGTCCAAGGTTGTCTAGGACCTTGTGGCAGCCTCAAAGGCACCTACTGATCAGCACTTCACGACGGGGTAATTCTGTCCGGCCATTAGATTTTCCATGGATGTGGCTGGAGGTTGTGTCGCATCTCTTCGTGTGTGCCTGGGAAGCTTGCGGCCCCTTGAAACAGAGGCAAGAAGAGCAAGAAGAAAACGATGGGTGCTCGGACGTCGTGAGTCTGCCTCATGTGCTCTCCGCTCTTCGATCTGTCCGCATGACCACATGTGGCGCAGAGCTTCTTGAACAAAGCGGTGTGTGTGTGTGCGACTAAGTTGACTTACTGTTTTACTAGCTGCTCAAGACAAACAAAATCTCACGACGTGCCGAAGGGCGAAACGATTTCTCGTTTCTGGATTGAAAATCGGGGCTCCTCAGTCGATAAGCTGAGTTCGCACAAGCGTGCGTGCCCAGCCTGCGCCACACTTCACATCGAACTTCTGAAGCTTTGAGCTCTGAGCCTCCAAGCCTGTTCGCAACCTTCACAGGCTGAGTTGCACAGCCCAGTTACACCCGAAAAGCTCTAAACTCTAAACTTCAAGCCTCAATCTTAAGTCGTCTGCTGCCATGCACCAGTGCCCGGAGAAACCTCTAGCCCCAAGCTCCTTCAACCGCCGAAACGGTGGTTCGGTAACAGGTTTGAGTGCCGACTGACGCCTTCGTCGATGCAGCAGTGCAGTTAGATTGCAAGTATACACGGAAGCCTGGACACTAAAGTGTTCACTCGATGTGCAAATTCATTTAGCCACATGTCTTGCTGCTTGATCTGCGGAACTGTCGGAGTGGGTCAGTCATGTCATAGCAATGCACGAAACCATCATCCAAAACCCTCTGGCTGAACAGAGTCCTGCATCCGAAGTCCTTCTCCTACATCCCGAGACCCGACGCCTGATCCACTTAGAGACAGCGCCTGATGCAGCAGGCACCCTCAACGCGGGAACTCGGAATCCTACAAACCCTGCCTCCCAACATCCCCGAACTCTGGAACTTGAGTCATTACGTTATCACCTATGCCAGCGACAAAGACGGGTACCGCTTGTTCAGGATGACACAGTTTTCCGATGGTCCCGATCGCCTTCTGTTCTAGCTCGCAGTGTAAGCGTTTACCTCGGCGCAAATTTCAAACGTGTTGGATGTTGGCATTTACACAGCTTCGAGTGCTTTCATTCAGTTTTGCGGTTGGGGGAACAGTCTGTATCGCATCTTACATGAAGCGAAGGTCCTGTTGCACTGCGACTCAGCATAAACACAGGTGCCCCGGTGCCCCCGCACGAGGAATGCAGAAGGCTGAGACACCGTTTGGGGCATGACATTCGGTCATATGCGTTCGGACTGCTTGCGCATGCGTTTCCAAGCTTTTGAGCATATTTCAGTCGCGATACAGGCCTGCTCAGGAATCATCTGCGGTCCTACTTGCAGTATCCCTGCGTCTTTGCCTCTTCCATGGCACAAGTTCTGGGTGGTGCCAGAAGGATGCAATTCCGGGCCATGTAGGCTTTGGATCGCTGGACGGGACCCGGGAACGAGTGAACGCGTAGCGGCAACCCTGAAACAGACTGCGAGACGTAAAGTTCGCGGTAGGCACAACACATTCGGAATGATCATGAGCCCGCAACAGCAAAACACGATCTCCTAGACAGCCATGCAGACACTCAGAAGCAGCCTTTGGATCAGAAAGAAAGTGGTTGGCAATTTGCTTACAATACTAAAATTCCAACCCTTACCTACAGCATGGGGCTGTAGAAAGTTGAGGCATGAACAGGCTTGGCAACGACAGTTGCAACCAGTCCTAGGACACTTTGCATCTAGAGCCAAACCGCGGTATGTCCGGCTCAAACGATGACCAGTGCTTTTAGCATTCCAGGTGATCCGAGCTGCTTGGCGTTGAGGGCTGCAACACCTGCACACACAGAGCCGCGGGCTTTGCTAGATGTTCGGGCGGTTTGCAACCAGGGTCAGGAGAGTTAGTGGTTCATGAGTACCAGGACGTGTATGCACGCTGCACACATGTGCGCTTTCACGCACGTGTCTGTGTATGTGCGTAGCTGAGGGGGGTGGCACCCGAGTCAGAAACACCGAGTCGGAAAATGCGCGAGACGAGTCCGAAAACGGTTCGGGTCGGAGACAGTCACCCCCGAGTCAGAAACCCTAAACTCTCAGGTGCTTCTGACTCAGCTAGCCACGCTTTCCAACTCGGGGACTTGGCTTTTTCGACTCCCGTTCCAGGCTCTGCGCGTCTGTTTCGGGCCGCACTCCCGTCAGTTTTGGCTTTGAACATCTTGTATCTTGCCTTGTATACCATTGAAGGCTCACCAGTGGCAGTCTCGCACAATTGACCTGTCTGCAAGTTCATCCTTGCAAATACGTCGGTAGTGCACGTCCATATCCTTCAATGTGGACCATGACTCGTCACACACACACACAACACCGAAACACCACAAACACATGCCGATCTGTCGGGCTTCGCACAAACCAAGTGAAGAGATGCTTCTGACATAGGCTTGGCGCATTGGCGCATTTCCCAGATTCTAAGACGATTACGCCGGTACACTGGGTGTGCAGTGGCCATACGAAGGTCGTAAACGTTCTTCTTGTGCTTGCGTGATGTGAACGTGCATTGTGCACGTACATATAGTGTATGTATGTATGTATGTATGTATGCAACCAGTCTATGCCAACGTATACATACATATATACCTTTATTACACATAAATCGAATTGCCTGCACGGCCTTCAGTCTTCATTTAAAACAATTGTGGCGCAAGGTACCTGCAACCATGTGTTCGTCGTGCTTACACTATGCATAGGCAAGCATTGCGTGCCGCAAAATTCTCTATGAACTATACTGACGAACACATATATGTGTAATTCTAGACACATCTACAGCATAGCCAATATAATCAGTAGAGGTTTATGCAATCTAAAAGTCTCTCGACGAAATCGCCTGTCAAACAGTTGCTATTGCAGTTTCAGCAGCCCGACTCTACTCAGTGTGACTCAACCATTTATGGCGGACCAGAGTAGAGTAGAGAAGCCAGGTTCTCTGAGATGGGACCACATCTCCAGGTTCGCAAACTACCACCTTTGAACTGACGGGTCCGGAATTATGATTGCTACATCAACCTCGAGAGCTGCGCTGCTACTGCTCCTAAGCCCCTCAAACCTAAACGCTGAGCCTGGCCTGGCAACTCCTTACCCTCAAGGAGCTCAAGAGAAGCGCCGCCGCCAGTGCTGCAGTGTGTGACCTGCCCCAAGGTGATGATTCTGCTTTGGGCGGGGGGCGGGCCGGGTTTTGGGCTATTGGGGCTGGGGTTTGCCGATATCCAGGTCGAACCAGCCTACCGAAAGAATTATGCCGCCATTTATTGGCTGCTTCTGGGCTGATCTGTAGGGTCCCGTGAAAACATCAGAGTCGGATGGGATTACAGTACTATGCCACTATGCCACTCGCATGCACATTGCCTGCCATTGCCAGTGCTAGTGTTCGACAGGACACCCAGAAACTGATGTACTATGTCTGCAGATGTTTTTGCACAAGCCAAGCACTGTGTTAACATCCACGGAGTTCACAGCACGAGGACCAAGGAGTGCATGCTCTGTATTGCTTTGCACACGACCATGAAGTAGTTAGTATGCAAACTTACATCTCATATGTCATATGCAGCAAGACTACGGTGTGCATGCCGGAACATGTAGGCATATTGCACACTATACTCAAAACAAACTGACAAGCCTGTAGTAAATCTTTAAGCATATACAGGTACCCTTGAGTTCGCGCGAGCTCCATTTGTCATTTGGTGTATGCGTTCATAGACACAAAAACAACACACACACACACATGTACATGCATTCATAAATTCATACACGATTATATACGCATACATCAATTCAATAGTCCCAAATAGCAAACAGCACCGTTTATTATAGCAGCACAGACTGGTACTGAGCAGAAATAATTTGGACTGGCCTTGTCCTCCGTGCCGTACTTCTTGCATGCAGTGGCCGTGTCGCCACCACCGATGACCTCTTGTCGGTAAGCTTCGGGCTTCGGATTCGGTGTGTCGTGTGCAGGGATCAGGTAGACTTGCAAACCGAATTTCCAGGATGGAGTGTCAAGAGCTCTCGACGGCTTCGAAGGCCTAAAGGCATGCTTTTGAGTTGGACTCTGCGGTACCGTCAATCCTTATCACAAGCGCTTCAAGAAGATGCTGCTCCAATTTCAGGAACAAGCGCCGGTATCACGACACCATGTATCAAACCAGTAAACCTCGTAACGAAGCAAGGAAAGGCTGCAGCCTCCCGAAAGCAGCAATGTCCGCGAAACCAGA